TCAAATGAATAGCATTGTGGACAGAATATATATATTTCTATGTGTTGTTAAAGCAATAATTATTGTCCGTAAAGATCGCAACAAAACGATAATTTATAATTTGGTTTCCTATTATTTTAATTCTTATTTGATTAAATGAATAAATTATGAAATATGCGGTTCGAGATCTATCGTCGCGATATATATATGTAGTTACATACTATTTAGAGTTCTGGGTAGCATTCTACGAGATATAAAAGAAACTCTTAACATTTTTATGTTTCAACCATTATTGGAAGAGATATCATTTTTCGTATGACATTTTGCGGAAACTTGACAGTATCATTGGACGATCATATGAACGTGAAAGAATTAATTAATGCTGTTAATAAAAACTTCTTCGAATTTAAAAGAATACGGTTAAAATTAGAGGAAAACATAATTATTATAATAGAATAGATCTCCGCGTTTTGGAAATCACAATTTTTCATATGTATTGTATAAATATATATCCAAGTATTGAGAGAGGTAGATTTTTTCGCATTTCCTGTTTTTTATTTAAAGTTCTGGGTAGCATCCCACGAGATATAAAAAAAACTCTTAACATTCTTGTGCTCCAATATTGCAAGAGATATCGCGATTTCTTAATCATTTTTGTCTATTATTATTTATAAAAACTAAATGGCACATTTTATAATATTTTATATATAACACACACACATATAATATTCTAATCATATGCCGTGAGCAGCTCTCATTGAGATTTCCACTTTTAAAAAGATGTATTAAATCGATACTCAAGTATTGTTACCTCTATTTTGTGATGCTGATTGGTTATCTCAACGCTGCGCATGCATTACTTTATATCAATAAAAGCCTGTCATAACTGAGCTACGCAGTTCAAATATTAAGTGTGTGTGTAATTTTTATCTAATTTATTTTGAAAAAACGGAGAACTAGAATTAATATGTGTAATTATATACACATACACACAAAATAAATGACGCGCGCTTATATTGTTCTAGTATCACTATAAAATAGATTTTAAATTAATCATGTTATTATATCATCGTGTTATCGATCTGACAAAGTCGCCTGAAAGTGGTTGAAAATAGCGATGGCGCAAACACAGTTCTGGGGATAAAAACTGTCAGGAGGAAAAAATTCTAATTTTTAATACAAGAATAGATTATTGATGATCACGTGTCGATAGCAAAATTGCAACAGTTAGGAGAGACGAGAAAAACGAGTATCGAGAACGTGATCCTAGTTCGAAACTAGCAAAATAATAATAATATGTAATAGAATTTACATGTTTGATTGCCAGGCCAAATACCATCGAAAAAATTTCAACGTGAGAAGATGCAAAGATTAACTTGCAATAGGGACCGCACAATTTTACATTCCAAGGCATTATTATCATATTTTGACAGCGGCATCAACGTCAATTGTCAATCGCAAAGATATTTCGTAGAACAAGTATTAAGACAGCCAACGTTTTCGTGGCTGATGCACTCGTAAAAAACTTATTTTTACAGAAGCAGATGGCAATTTGTCCAGCTTACAGCATGGCTCAAACTCAGCCGAAATTTTACGTCATTCGCTACCCTATAAATTGCGTCTTTTAGGCTGACATACCAGCTCTTACGCATTCATATTTATGCATTTGGGGCCTAAGTGGCGCGAGAGGAGAAAGATAGAGAGAGATTGACGAGGAGAAGTATGACGAGGATGTAGGTGGATCGAACGGAAGCGGAAGACGAAGCATACATCAAAACGGAAGTATCGCAGAGGTGCTGTTAACATAAACCCAGTCATTGCTCCCTAGACATAATAACACCGTTATACTAGCACGTAATATCGAACCGTGTCTCGTCGTGTCTTCTCTCGTCGTGTTCTTCTCAGTTTCTTAGAGTCATGAGCGAAAAGAGAAATATCAAGATATTTTCTACGACGCGATTAAAGGATACGCGCGAGCGGAAAAAGAAGAAAATCTTGATGAGATTTTAGCCTCCCACGGCTTTATTAAATATTATTGCTTGATGTTATAACCTTTTGCTCGCTCGATGCGCACTTTTTACTTATAATTGGATTTCTTGTTATTGTATTATATCTATTTAATACATGTATCCTTTTTTAAAAGCCTCTCTCTTATGAAAATATATGATAAAATATCTGTAACTAACAATATATAAAAATTCTGCAATATCAAAGAGAGAGAGAGAAAAAGAGAGAATTTATCTCTCATCAAGATACGTCTTATCATTCGCTCTGTTCTTAGATGAAAGTGACGGACAATTTACAAGGCTTTTACCAAGCGATTTTGAGATATTCTCGTTCGCAATACTCGTGGAATGCAAGAGAGGTATGCGCGCACCAGTATCTGCATATGAAAGGAAGGCGACTAAAAAGGATCGATATTTGCAGTTGCTTTAGCGGAAGTAACTAGAATGCAGATACTCTCGCCGCGAGTGTACACAAGTCGGTTACGAGCGTCTTTCATATCGGGAAAATCATCTCAAGTTGATACTCGACTCGTCGATAAATCGAGAATCTTTAAAGAGCTTTCATGAGCATAATCTTTTTTCAATTAATTCGCGATATTAAAAGAATTAATGTATCATTCTTCAATTAATGTATTTTACTAAAATTATTATGGGCAAACAAATTGATATTCCATGACTGTCACTCCTTCTCCGCTAAATTAGACGATAATTCGCGTATAATACAAGGAATGTACGAGGACCTCATCAGTCACTCGCGTCGCGATACATCGCGCTGCATCGCCCGTCTTTGCACACGTTCCACGGGAGATTCTCGCCGTCGAACGGCAGGTCCGTCGTCCATACTGAAAAGGTCTCCCAGCGGCTTTCACGTCGTGCCACGACCCGATAATACAAAGAAATCCACATCAGGGTAATGTCGCGTGAAGTTAACGCGCCGGGGTAACCGCCCCCTCCCGCGCCCTCGCTCTCGTAGTGTTCGGATCGTGGTCGGTATTTCGATGAAGGCTGCGGACGATCCGAAACGGACGACAGAAAAGAAGAAGCGGGGTAAGAAATCCCATTAAGGCGGAGACCTTGAAAGGCACGATGACATCGTTCTTTTTCCCTCTCATTCAATGCAAGTGATGAAAGTGATACAAGAGTCTCTCTCGATCGCGGAATTATGATGGAGAAGAATATTTCTGTTATCGATTAATCGTCCCGCAAAATTTTTGAATGAAAAAAAAAAAAATTGCATATATATAATACAAGCGAAGAGAAAGAAGGAAAAAATCTATCTTAATCGCGAGAATGTGAAAGACGCGATTATGGAATGATGACGATGCGATTATGAAATGACCAGGTTTTTCATCTCGAAACGGCAGTGTGCAACGATACTTTACCGAGATCGATTAGTGTTAAGTTCAAACTGGCTGGTGCACAAGCACCGACGTACGGGGGTTGGGTTGCGGAAGGGTCGAGTTTAGTCGCTCCACTGGACTGTAACTTGAGCTAACCCCGAGAAACACCATCACCACCGCTGTCGGTGGAGAAGTTGCCTCGTCAGCCGCCCGGTATAAGGTCGAAACCTAGCCTGTAGACAGGAAACGGAATTCAACTTCCTTCCCTTGGTCGAGGGCGAAGATTAATCTCGATGCAGACGTATCTCCTCCACCTGCAGCCATATCTCCTCCACTCGACATCCCTTCCATCTTCGCCCTCTTATTCGCGTCGCGTTGCACAGATTCTCTCGACTCCCATATGCAAATGATATAATTCATAAAAAGGAGTTGTAAGAGAGTCGTTTAAATTTAATCAACTTTGCAGCAGGATTAACAATTATTTCGTTAAAAAATTATAAAAAAAATTATAAGATTTTTTATAATAAGTATAAACATGGTTAATAATTTAAAAAAGAATGATTACTTTTTAGTAAATCCCTTACACATACACATACGCAAAAAGCAAAAAGAATACATTATTCGTTATAAATTATTATTATAAATAATATCACATGAGTCTCTCTCAAAGCTATTAATTATACTATTAAATGCAATCTAATTTACCAGATCCCTGCGGAAGCATCGAATGCGTAGAACCAGAAATCTGTCAGCTGGACGCTTAATTAAAAAAATAAAAAAACCCGAAACGGAATGGCGATAGTTTCTCGCACCGTGTAATGCAACGATATGTCGTATAAACGCGTATGTTCGATTATTCGGTTCGCAGGTGTGCCAGTGGGGTGCAATTTGCGCGGAAAACGGCGGCAATGCTATGTGCGAATGTCCGACTTGTCCGGCAGAATTTCAGCCTGTGTGCGGCGATGATGGCATCAGCTATGGCAACGAGTGCAAGCTTCGCCTGGAGGCATGTCAGCATCGACGGGAGATACGCGTTCTGTACCAAGGATTGTGCAGTGAGTACCGAAAATAGATTTTACACGAGAGCGCACGTTCTCTGTGTCCCTGCGAATCCGCTCGTCGCGTTTTTAAAACTAGGAACTCACTTACATGCATTATTGACAATCTCGGATTTCAAATATAGTATCTACGTGAAAGGGGATTTTAATAGTAATAAAAAATATGCATGTAAAAAATAATAGATATATTTTAAACTCTATATTCGAGATGACAGAATGTAAATGAGTTATTTTCATCAAAACGAAATTTCTTTCGTTTTGCTTTAAAGTTTCTAGCATCCTTTAGCAATGTAAGAAAAGAAAGTGCATAAAAGAATTAGATTCCAACGTAGCTCGTTAGAGAGATCTAATGCAATTAGTAATATTAACTTTCGAGCAATCAAATTCGCATTTCGAAATTTGAATGTATTTGAATCGCAATTTTCATTTTCTAATTACTTTTTTTTGTGCTTCGTTTAACATAATTTTGTATGCCATTCAATCGCTTGATTCTATGGTCGCGAAGAGAAAATATATATTATCGGTTGAGTTAATCTCTTAAATAGGTTTTCCGCAAAGCACTTCAATTAATCACACGGAATTCTGGATTCCCAATCCGACGGATTGTTCCCGCATCAAGCGCTCTCTCTTATCGGGACTAATATTGAGCACGGAAAATAATTTCCAACTCGCGACGCGGGGCGTTAAAAGAACAAATCTGTAATTTTAATATGCCGGAGTGGTCGGACAACGGGGGTTAATATACGGTCGCCGGCAGCGGCGGTAACTTAAAACTTGCTACGACTAATTTGAATATCCGGCCCGGGTAAATTGAATTTATAACGGATTTCTGAACGATCTTAAGTAGCACGGCGGCATGAAACTTGATTAACGTCGATGACCTCGCGTGTTTCTCTAGAATTAGGCATCGATCGACCGTATACGCCCGCGCTTCCTCGCGTTCGATACGATGCGATAAAGCGCCGCGATCGTAAAAATCAGCATTGTGTTCGGTACGAAAGAAAGAAATGTATAATTTTCAAGCTCCGTATCAAAGAGGATCATCTTGATACGAAGCTTTCATAAACCATAAATAAGATCTACCATTTCCCTCGTTGCGATTCAGAGTTCCTCGATTATTTCGCAAAATGAAACGGTTTATCGTTATAAATAATAATTTTTTTTTATACATACGCGACGCAAATGCCGTGTTTGATAAAGTTATGCTTCGACCACGTCAGATACTTTCAGCGATATCACTCGGTTTCTTCGCTCGCGATAGGAATTCCGGACGATATCGTAAACAACTTCATGCATACTGCACTCGACGATGCATCATCGTGGCTGCACGCGAACTCGCGCTATTAATCTTCATTTTATTATTTTCTACGATGCCTTTAATAACGACGCCGCGCGCCCTCCGTCCGATCTGAGGGTGGGCGGGAGAAAAGGGTGAAGGAGAGAGATTTCATCGACCGTGTACTTTACGACGTTGGCCCCTACCCTGCAATTTCATTCTTATTAATCCACCCCCTCCTCCCTCCCTCCCTCCCACCCACGATAATCTAGAATGAGCCGCTATCAGGAGCGGTGGCTTCAAAAGGACGCGAATTCCTGGGCGATTTTCCGTCCTGTGCGTCTTTTCTTAGCACTCGATGAATATCACGCTCCAATCACCTTTCGTTCCACGCTTTAATTCGGTAAATCTTCTAATAGAACATACGATTCTTTGAATAGAACATACGATATTTTTGAAGACATGACTCAGAAATTCATGTAGTCGCATGTTAAAAGCTGTAGATGAAACACATTATTGACAAAATATCCGTGTACCTATCCCGTTAATGTAAACAAACTTTTTCGTCTGCTCTACAATAAATACAATGTACACAAACTTCACTTTTCCTAATATTACTTTATAATACCTGAGAAAAAGCATTAAAAATGTGAAACTTCAAAATTGCATATCTCTGGAACCAGAAGAGAGCGCCACAAAATTCAAAGCGTGCATTACTGAAGAATGTACCCTTTACAATATACATAAAAATGAAAACGATCCGTGAGGTGTAAGTTAATCCGAACATTTAACCAAATTGTAAGCACATACAATTTTCAGACTTTTCACATTCACATTAATTGTGCGAGGCAAACATTTACGACATATAAAATATTACTTCGTTTTCTACAGTATAAACCGAGGAAACTGATCCAATTACAATTATAATTGGTACGCATTAGTTAAATATAAAATATTATATCATTAAATATTATGAGACAAAGTTTCTTTGTCCTCGAGCTTGTGATAATGGCTCCCTTGTAAAAACGGGGGTATCGCCGCAATTAAACAAGGGTTGGAAATCCTCGTTCTACCGTCTATCTCCCCGATTTCATCCTTCCGTTCGTCTTTATGGAAATCACTCGCGAATGAAGCGCTTTTCAACGCGAGACAAACGTACAACTCGTGGCGTTGGCCTCGAGGAACGATTGCACGATGACACCTGGCACTGTTCATTTCCAACGCAAATTCACGTACTCGCGCAAACATTCCTTGTTAGTCGTACGCAACGAACAAACTATGTAGAAAGTGTTCTAAAATCACCGGTGCGTATTTTAAAAACAGATGTGTGTGTGTGTGCAAAGGACGAATATTAAATAAAAACTATAAAATTCCGTAATATAATATTATTTTAACTTATTGACTTTAGTTTAATTTAATTATATACACATACACAGTTATAATAAATTTATAAATGTAAAATAAATATAAATGAGATAACGTAAATAGTTATCGTCGTCATCAAATATATGTACGCGAGTCAGCGCAATACTTGGGAAGATGAATCTATAAACTTTTTAGACGCACTCGAGTGCTCGCGTCTTGCACAGAAATAAATCGCAACATTCCCTATTTGCATCTTTATTAAAGTTCCACTTGTCAACATAGAACGGACAAGCGCGTCCGCTATCAGACGCGCAGATTTATCAAAAAGCCCTCCGGCAGGGATGCGTTCAAACAGCGATCCCATCAAACCAGCCATCCTCCTCCTCCTCCTCCTCCTCTTCTTCCAATTCCACCAGCCCTCGACTGACGTTGTGAGGCCCCGAGAATATAAAATCACGTACTCGAGAAAGTTAGTCTAAACACAAACAGTAATTTCCATCACAAAAATCTGATGAAATGGGATGCCTGGGACGATGAGAGGAAGGTGATCCGCGCCCGAGTAGCTACCTACGACGACGCGATGGTACCGATGCCGAGGTTTACCGAACTTTCCTCATAACACACGTATCCGGCGAACGCGCGCCGAAAAGATTGGATTGCTTTTAATATCGGGCGAGCACGGCGACCCACGAATCCGAAATTCTGGAACGGCGAAAGAAGAAAGAACTCGGGGTTTCCTCGGAGAGACTTTGGCGAATATCGCTACTAAACTCTTGGCATTTCATAACCATACTCCATGCTCTACCTCTTTTTTTTTAGTATTCTGCATATATCGAGTTGAAAAAAAGAAAATCATTTTTTATATAATATTCTATAATACTTTGAGAGTTCGCGATAATAATAGACGTTCGCGTTTTATTCCAGTCACAGCGAAAGCATTTCGAAGAGCACGCGATCTTGAGCGCGGGGAAGAGGGAGGGACGATTTTCATTATCGCTCGTACTCTCGCGTCAGAAATCGAGCGGAACGTGTCGTAGAATTCGGTTTCGTGCGACGCCGGTCGCTCCACGTTGGTTGAAATCATATGAGTTGTTACTCCACGGCATGCACGCTGCATATGCATGCGCTTCCTTGCGCCTTGCTACCCTCCTCGGCCATCCCGTGTACCGTCCCACCCTTGTTCGTAGTCACGCTCTTCGCGCGTGATGATTCTCGTTTTCAAACCTCGTCGGAAAACCCGGGGGAGAGTCACTCTCCCTTCCTCCTTCCCGCAAGCATCATCGACACGTTGAGAGATGAATCTCTTCCGTATCCATCTTCTCTCTCTCTCTCTCTTTCTCCTGCTTCCCTCCCTCCCACCCTCACATCCGTCGTCGATTTCAATAAATTCTAAAGATAACTTTCCAGAGACTGTCAAGCCGCCGCCATCGTTCTTTCTACTCCTCCATTCTCCCTTGATTTCTGTTACTCGCATTTCGGGTACCACCCTTTGTCTCGTCTGCTTCCTCTTTCAACCCCTCCTGGTCGCCCCTTTTCGCCCGCGGCAGTGAAAATTCCACTCGAAACGGACGCCGTTATGCAAATACCCGCGAGAATCTTTATTAATGTTATCCTGAGGCGGTCAGAGGGCGGTTCGCCGCACGGGATGGTCAAGGGGTGGCGCGTGATTAATGGTCCGAGTGATGTCACGAAACCGAAGGAATTTGTGTTGGCCGAATCTGTGCTGAACTTAAACCCAGCTGCGCCATATAGATTCTTAATCGTCATCGATCTGTTCACAGATGGCTGCGAGAACAAGAAGTGCGAGCTTTACGGCGAATGCGAAAGCGACAGTGCCGGAGAAGCCAAATGCGTTTGTCCATCAAAATGCGAGAGTTCGGTAAGTCCTCACATGATCCCCAAATGATAATTAAAAATGATAAAAAAGATCTGTGAATTTTTAATGACAATGATCAATTTCAATTTCTTTAACAAAATATTCTAAACATTTTTAGGAATTATCTAACACACGTTAAAGACGAAAAAAGATATCCGCGTTTCTATTTTTCTATATTTCTGTATGTTACATATTAATAACGTCACCGAGCGTTACAAATGTTTGTTTTAATGAATAACGCGATCATAAATATACCGGAGGAGCGTGTTGTGCATTATAGAATATTATATCGACTGTTCAGGTTGTTTGGATTATTCAAAATTGTCATTTGCATTCGCGCCGTTTCAATCGTCGAAATTTTATAAATGTCGCGTCCTGTCTTGTTTGTATTTCTACAAAAATACAATGTCAATGCGCGAGAGAAATGGCTTTCAATCCAAGGCTGACAGCCGCGCAGTCGCGTGCGGGAATTCCAAATTCAATAAATCGCTATAGGTGTATATATCACACGTGCTCTTGTCGCGTAATATTTCTTTCAAATAAATGTCAGATTAATTCTCATTGTAAGCGAAAAAATTGCTTCGTGGACTAAATGTTCTTATATTTTATATTAAAATTAATAAATACGATTTTTAAGATTCTTACGAATATTTTACTCCGAAAAATATCCTGCACTTATTAATAAAAATAAATAATATATACGATCATATTATGTACATATTTATAAATGCGTCAAGTAAAGATACGCGCTATATAAATGTTATACAAATATTTTTGGACCCGAACAAGAATTCAAATTAATAAAGAGAACAATTCTTTTATGGTTGCATTTTTTCTCAAACAATATTTCAATATATTTAGATCCATTTCACATCGATATAGATACGATTGGTTGAGAGATCGTGCTGATTTTTTCGTCGGAAAGAAATAGATCGATCACTATCGCACGTCGCAATCTCTTCGTCGTTCCGAGATGCTCGCGGCGATTCGTCGAGCTAGGGCTCGCTCGTTAGCGTAACCGATGTGAAATATTCATACGATGATGAATGCTCCGCTCGATGCGCGTGTATGCACCCGTGTATATGCATTCTCGGCCAGCAGCGGTGTTCTGCGTTTTTCCCAAGACCGTTCGATGTTACGCGCCGCGGAAGTTGCGCTTCGTTAGAAACACGCCGCGAGGGATGAGAGAGGCTGCGCCGGGGGAGGGCAGGGGAGGATTGACACATTTGCATGCGCTATTTCCAGGACTTTTCATCAACGTTACGTTTCGCGTGCATATGTGTGGAGAAAGTCGGTTTATTATATCCCTCTTTCGCGGAGAATGAATGGCGTTTTCGTGTTTCATTAGATGGCCGACAATAGTCGATGATTCTTCGAAATGTCAAAGTGTCGAAAATTTCACGGCGAAAACGCGATGCGACCATCCGTGTTCTCCGTTAGAGAAATAAGAGAATTGGTTTTTTAATTAACATTTCGTTCTCATGTTTGTGACTGCCGGGTGTGGCCTGATGCGTTTTATCTCTCGATGCATGCTACGAATATTCAGCAGTAAAATCCCATGTAGATTGTGACAAGTCACTATCATTCGTCCATATATAATGTGTGCAGGACAAAGTCCTGTTCTTACAAAGCTTGATACAATTGGTATAAAAAATTACAAGATGCATATAATAAAAAGATTTCCGAGTTTACATAAGCTTTCAATAAATTGGGATTTATAAACTCGCAATTTTCGAATTAATACTCATTCTCATTTATTTCCGTTAATAACTGTTTAATAGTAACAATTTGATGCGCGCCGATACATGAAATCCGATTCCCATGTACGGAGCTTCAATTTCTGTGGATTTATTCGCCTATCTCTCGGATCGATTTCCGATAAATAATTTTTCGTATCCGGTTGCACGCGGATATTGCAATCTCTCTTCTTCTCTCTCTCTCTCTCTCTCTCTCTCTCTCTCTCTCTCTCTCTATCTATCTATCTCTCTTACTTTTTCCCGACCTGTCGCGGCGCTTTCCCTCCGCATGAATTCGAAACGCGACGTTCGAGTCGGCATCGGAATCCAGTCGAATCGCTTCAATGAATTCAATCGAGGGTAGACGGGAAGGAGGGCCGAGGAAAGGAACAAATAACGCGTGTTGCGCCTCGGAAAAGTGTACGCGCGAGCATTGAAAGCTTGTTAATTGCGATCGCGCTGACGCGAGTCTCCCGCGAGTTCATAGAAAACGCAGGGAATCCGATATTTTTGTGTTCTTATTAAATAAAATGTTTTAGATTCTTAATTATATATTTTTAATTTTACGCACACAACTTTTATAATTATATAATAGACACCAATTACGTAGACATAACAAAAAATTTTTGTGTCTTTTCGAAGGAACGAAGATCTTAAATCTTGATGTTTCCAATCTTTATCTTGTCTCACGTTTTCACATTTTTTTTCTCTACAGAATGTAATTTTTTACCCTTTATTAAAAAAAAAAAAAAAAAGCGGTGTTCTGCGTTTTTCCCAAGACCGTTCGATGTTACGCGCCGCGGAAGTTGCGCTTCGTTAGAAACACGCCGCGAGGGATGAGAGAGGCTGCGCCGGGGGAGGGCAGGGGAGGATTGACACATTTGCATGCGCTATTTCCAGGACTTTTCATCAACGTTACGTTTCGCGTGCATATGTGTGGAGAAAGTCGGTTTATTATATCCCTCTTTCGCGGAGAATGAATGGCGTTTTCGTGTTTCATTAGATGGCCGACAATAGTCGATGATTCTTCGAAATGTCAAAGTGTCGAAAATTTCACGGCGAAAACGCGATGCGACCATCCGTGTTCTCCGTTAGAGAAATAAGAGAATTGGTTTTTTAATTAACATTTCGTTCTCATGTTTGTGACTGCCGGGTGTGGCCTGATGCGTTTTATCTCTCGATGCATGCTACGAATATTCAGCAGTAAAATCCCATGTAGATTGTGACAAGTCACTATCATTCGTCCATATATAATGTGTGCAGGACAAAGTCCTGTTCTTACAAAGCTTGATACAATTGGTATAAAAAATTACAAGATGCATATAATAAAAAGATTTCCGAGTTTACATAAGCTTTCAATAAATTGGGATTTATAAACTCGCAATTTTCGAATTAATACTCATTCTCATTTATTTCCGTTAATAACTGTTTAATAGTAACAATTTGATGCGCGCCGATACATGAAATCCGATTCCCATGTACGGAGCTTCAATTTCTGTGGATTTATTCGCCTATCTCTCGGATCGATTTCCGATAAATAATTTTTCGTATCCGGTTGCACGCGGATATTGCAATCTCTCTTCTTCTCTCTCTCTCTCTCTCTCTCTCTCTCTCTCTCTCTCTCTCTATCTATCTCTCTTACTTTTTCCCGACCTGTCGCGGCGATCGCACACATTCAGAATGGGAGGCATGTCGGTTCATCAAGATAGCGGTCCCGCGGAAAATTCAGCCGATCTCTCGATTCAGGTAGATAGACGAGGTGGCACGGATTTCACGATTCGTGAAACGTCCTGCTGACGAGACGGCGAACAATTCCGAATTCCTTCAACGTGGTCTTTTCGTGGCCGTCCGTGAGAGGAGACGCGGACAGGAATAAGGGATGGATTCAACGTCGAGGAAAAAGAGTTGAGAAAGGGATTAGATTGGCAGGGGTTTTTCCAAGCCATGGGCCGAGGTCTTTTGCGAACGACTCTCTCGCTACTTTCTTCCAGAACGACGACGACGAGAGAAAAGTTCGCTTTCGTCAGTCGGTCACGGATGCTTATCGGGAAGTATCGGCGATCTCTCTAGCTCGCGATCGGAATTCCGGAACGTGTTTCCAGGATGGATAATACGGGATCAATTACGTTGCAGATCGAGGATTGTTAAAATTATTCAAAGTCCAGTATTTTCATTATATCGAAAAATTATAGACACAATGTAATTCAAACCCCCCCATAATTGATTTTTCATATTTCTCGCGCAAATTAATCTGCGTCGCGAAAATCGTAAAAATAGTGTCGAAATTGTATTTGAAATTAATTTGATGATCTTATTATTTGCAACGTCGATTTAAGCAGATGGTTTTATTCAAAAGACAGAATATTGTATCGGAGAGAACATAACGCGATGGACGCATTCGCGTACAATAATCCTCTTAATGAAACACGAACCATGGGTTCGCGCATATATGCGGATTAACCTCAGAAAATGAGCTGACTGACGTCAATTAAACTTAACAGGGAACCAACTAAATCGTACGGACTCTCTCTCTCTCTCTCTCTCTCTCTCTCTCTCTCTCTCTCTCTCTCTCGTGCAGGAACTTTACCGCAGCCCGCATACCGAATGTGCAGATCTATTTTGAACGGGCGTAATAATAACTACCGTCTTTCTCTCAAAACGGCCAAAGCCATCCACGCAGATACCTTCCATCTCGAATTCCAGTTAGATCAAATGAGGGCTTTTCCTACGCGCATATGTCCATTTGCATAATTATATTACAATGAATGCTCCATCAGCGATAGGGAGAAAGAGAGAGAGAGAGAGAGAGAGATGCAAATTACTTACATAAATTAACAATTACATTTGTGATCGTTTCCGCCGAATAATTCATCGCCAATTAATTGATCATTAATTATGTTTTCAATGCAATTCATTGTCAATTAATAAACAATAATTATATTTGCTTTATATAAAATTAATCGGGATTAATTAAAATTGATTAAGAGTCAATCAAGTTAGACACTCTAAAAGAAAAAGAATCATTCCCGGATTTGTCGAAGAATAAATTCTCGTTCGTCCAATCGACTTTCACCGCAAACACGCACAGCTGGCCGATATAACAGTGACAAAGGATTCACGGAACACGAGTGTAATAAGCAAACAGGAGGAGTCGGGAATATGACAGCCGAGCTAATTAAGTTTTGCTCTTTCCCGTGTTATATTGCATCGCGCGACCTCTTCATCTCCCCCCCGTATCCTCTCTCCATCCCTTCCGCCTATTCCCTGGCCTCGCCTTGCTGTCCATCAAATGCGCCATGTACCCCTGCGCAACAAGTGAGACACGCAGAGAGATCTCGCCTCTCACTCTCTTCCTCTTTCTCTCTCTTCCACTTTTAACTTCTACTTCTAAAACTTTTTTTGCTTTTCTAAATTTATCTTTTCATATTCCCCTTTGCTGCAGCCGTATACACGTTTCATTTAATCGTTTTAAAACAGAAATTCTCTTTTATATACGAATACTGATATAAGGCAAAGATTTTACCTCGAGATAAAAAAAAATCTTTTCATCATATTTTATGCACTCTTGTCATTTTTGTAATTATATTCATAATTGATTATATTTGGAATTGTGTGTGTACAGGTGACAGAGCCGGCGGGTACGGAAAAGGTTTGCGGATCCAATGGAGTGACCTACGATAATGAATGCGCCTTGAAAAGGGCGTCGTGCACGAGCCAGACCCTCATCACCATTAGCTACGTGGGTGACTGTGGTAAGCATCCATATATTTCACGTGCATTTATAAATGCGAGCTAATGCGATGAGCTCAGAGATGCGCTGATACTGCGACCAGATAACAATAATAGAGTCCTTTCTACTTCCTTCCATTCTACGAGAGCATAATTTTTACATTTCGATGAAAAAGAGGAGAATTAATAGTAATATTTTTTTTTTTCATTAACTCGCGCATACTTAAATATTATTTCCATCGATATTTTTGCCGGAGAGAATCTGAATTTTTATAAATATTTTTTTTTTTTTTTTTTTTAACGCATGATTTCGGATAGTTTGAAAATTTATAGCGATGATCTATGTGCCATGAAAAATGGATGAGAGAAAATCAAATGTTTTCCAGAAATGTGCACAAGGGTGAAGTGCGAGTACGGAGCGCATTGCGTGGCGGGTGTGTGCGTGTGCCCGAAGGTCTGCCCGGAGAACAGCGGCGAGCCCGTTTGCGGTAGCGACGTGAAAACTTACCAGTCTGAGTGCGAGCTGCAGCGAGCAGCCTGCGACAGGGACCCCAAGTTGCCGGCGTTGCACGTCACGTTTTACGGGGACTGCGGCGACAGATTGGCCGTGGCGGCTTTGAGTATGTTGCCGAAATTATATATAGTCTATAAATTATATAGTGTCGCCCCGCGCCCATCTCTCTTAACACGCTTTTGCGAAAATTTCCTTGCAGTTAATTCGCGACTACTACTAGTTACGCTGATTAAAGTATACATTTTTTAATAACGAATACGGTCTCAAGAGATTCGCGATATATATATATACAAAAAGAGAGAGAGAGAAATTGAGTATATAAATCTTTTGCAATTTAATTTTAACTTTGTGATCCCAAAGTTTTCAGAAAAGATCAGCCATAGAGGTGAACTATAGAGCGGTTTGACACGCGAAAATGTTTAACGCACCGAGCATCTCAGACAACGTAATGGAAAGCCATTGCGGCTTGTCGACTTGAGAGTTGGGGTGTTCGACGCGATTCGCAAGCCCTTTGAAGGGTTAACGCTCGAGGCGCGGGACGCACTCGTGAAGTTTCAAAGACGTTCACACGTTTCACATGTGCCTTCTCTCTGTAATCTTGGCGAAATTGCTGCTGCCGTGTAACAGAGCGCGTAATTGAAAATAGTTTTCATAAAACGGTCGCAGCGACGAGAACGCTTATTAGAACGCCGGGATACCTTAACGCTTATCCTGAAATGCTTTAACCGCATGTCATTAACGATTTGGGGCTCCCTTTAACGTTCTAACAACGCGCATAATAAGCCGCTCTAACCATCGCTCTCTCTCTAACCGCTTCTAACAGCGACCAAGTCGACACTCGCGGTGACACGCGTGGCCACCACCATCGCCGACATGACGAGCACGCAGGAGCGCGAGGCCTGCAAGGACATTCACTGCGACTTCGAGGCGACCTGCGAGCTCGGCCCGGACAGGTTCCCCAGGTGCAGCTGCAGATTCGATTGCGCCTCCATCCCGCCGGAGAATATGCGGGCCGTCTGCGGTAGCGACCTCAGGATCTACTCCTCCCTCTGCGCCATGAAGATGGAGGCTTGCCAGAGGCAGCAGGAGCTTCGACTGAGGCCCCTCGATCTCTGCGAAGGTTGGGAAGCGACCGAGGAGATTCGAATATCGATTGACGAAGACGGATTTTGCTTCTCTCTCGACGCTTTCACGATACCCTCTAACGATTCATCTTCCACACTTTTTACATTTTCCTGCTAACAAGTGATAAATTAAATTGAGCGGAGCAAATTCTCGCTTTGAAGTGTTGCTTTAAAAAGATTAATGCGATAATTAATTTTCTACTGTGATACTTGTGCAGGCATGGAAGTCAAGCCTTGCAATGGCGATTCTCCATTGGTAGACTCCGAAGGTAAAGAATATGACTGCGGTAGTGGACCAGAACGCAAAGACTGCCCTAGCAATAGTTACTGCCATCAGACGACACGATTCGCTCGTTGCTGCAAGAAAGGTTAACGAGAAAACTCTTTTAGTAATTTTAAAAATCGATCAGTATACTTAACATTAATATTTTATACATCAATCACAAATAAAATCAATCAAAATAATATATACAATTTTCTTAAAATATTAATTTTTATAAATATATCAAATTAGATATATATATGTAGATTAAAATCTCTAAGAAAATAAAAATCTCAAACGTTTTTCGCTCGTTGCTGCAAGAAAGGCTGCAAAAAAATTTTTTAGTTATTTTAAAAATCGATTAATATACTTACTTAGTTATGTAACGTAAATGTTTTATACATCGATCATATCAAAAATAATATATATAATTTTCTTAAAATATTAATTTTTATAAATATATTAAATTCGATATATATGTGGATTAAAATCTCTTAAAGAATAAAAATTTCAAACGTTTCACGCAAAACATTATTCGTCCAATCTCAAGGAAGTTACGTTAAAAAATTAATGCATAATTTTACAAGCTCGAGACGCTCACGCGACAGGTGACAATTAAGTGACGTGCTTTTCCAGTCTTAGGGAACCAGGTGCAAAAATGCGCGGACTCATGGCACGGCTGTTGCCCGGACGGGAAGACCGCCGCCCTAGGTCCGGACGGCGCCGGTTGCCCGAGTTTGTGCAATTGCAATAGACTCGGCAGTGTGTCAGATACCTGCAACCCGGAAACCGGTCAATGCGAGTGCAGGCCAGGCGTGGGCGGCCTCAAGTGTGACAGATGCATGCCGGGTTACTGGGGACTGCCGAAAATAAGCGAGGGCCATCAGGGATGCATACGTAAGATTTTCGAATCTGCGCTCTCTCAGAATCTGTGATTCTGATATATTTGTCATATAATTATTTCCTACAGATATAAATATATGAAACGATATACATAGGGCGTGTCCTCTAATATATTTTTCTCGCTTTAATCGATCGTTTTGATTACTTATATGATCAATCGCCATGTATCGAATAAACCGTTTATTTGTCTTGTACACGTATCGGGAAGATATTTATAATTATGTTTGACAGCGTAAACAATCTTCATTATTTATCGTAAAATTAATGCGAATTATTTTCTTTCTCTGAACGTAGCGTGCGGCTGCTCACTATTCGGTTCCGTCAGAGAGGATTGCGAGCAGATGACAGGACGTTGCGTCTGCAAGCCTGACATCCAGGGGCAAAAATGCACAATCTGCAACGACCACAACAAGATACTCACCCCCACCGGATGTTACTCAGGTATCACGCGCAAAGATAATCATCTGAATGTATTACTAAAATGCCTAAATCCCAATTAGCGATCTAAAAAATTTAATTACAACTTTTTTTATCTCCTTTTTATAAGTGTAAAAAAAATTATGGAACATCCATTCATTTAATTCCTTTCAATATCTAAACCTTAATACCCGACTATTCTAAAATCAAATTTCCCCGGGAATTAACATCAGCCTAACTTACTCGGCGTCAAACGCCGTTTGTTTTTCGACGTAACTATGTTACATCGCCGAGATAACGAGTTTTAACGCTCTCGGAGAGACGACACCCCGATCCGGTCGGATCTACGATCCGTCTCGGTCTACGCGCGGCGTAATTCTATTAATTAACGCGCCCCCTAATCCGTTTTGCATCCGCAGCAGACACGATACCGCCCATACCTACGTCCTGCAACGAGCTGGAATGCTACTCGGGCGGCCACTGCACCGAGATCGGCGGCGCGCACTGCGTCTGCCCGTCCTCGTGCCCGGCGGACGTGCCGTCCTTACCGGTTTGCGGCAGCGACGGGCAGACCTACGACAACGAGTGCGAGCTAAGGCTGTACGCGTGCCGCCACCAGGCAGACGTGGTCACGCAGGCCTTCGGCCACTGCAGAGGTGGGTTCACTGAACGTACACCGCCGAACAGATCGCTTTACGTTCTCCTCTACTGAGAGAAAAACGCTATCGAAAGAGAGATCGCGTCGCTTGTAAACGAGTAGCTCGAACAAATTATACACACACCCCGTAGAAATAATGAACGCGAGATTCATGGTTAGATAATCGAGAAATATGCCTAGTGTATAGCGATGTTAACAGAGAGAGACGCGCGTCGATAACAGGATCTGAGAACAAAACCAGGGCCTGAAACGACAAACACAGTGAGAAGAAAAAAATATAATATAAGCTGAGTTGCTTCAAGAGCTCGAATAAACTGTATCTGCGATTTAACGAGAGTCATTGTTTCATATAAATTAAACGAGAGAATTTATATAATCAAGTTAATACAACGGACGTTGATGCAATAAATGCTTGAAAAATATCAACGTTATCGGGAAATGTAAAATTTGTACGATAGAAAAAAAAAGAGTATTTGAAAATGCTATTAAATACGGTAATTGATGGTAATTCTTTGAACGAAAGAATCGCGGCCTAATAATAATAATATAGCAGACGCACTCTGTGACATCGGTTTATAACAATTTAGATTTGTTTAAATAGGACGTTGTTAATTATAGAGCAGGAACACTGAAAACAAAATATAGACGAAATAAATTTTACGGAGAGATCTGATTATAAAAAAAAAAAAAAAGGATTGCCCAGCTTTTGCCCTAGAGAAACTAACCAGTAATCCACTTTGTATATCCAAACGTTATAATAAACTCATCAAGTTTCTACTGACATGTATATATATGTTTGTGTGTAACCCCCGCAACCCGGAGCTACTACTTTGCTTGCTTTCTTATAATTTATCGCATTCCGTTCTCGTTTTGTTTTTGTGAATAATACTTGTGATTAATACGAATTGCGAAAAGTTTAATCCACTTACGAACAGAAAATAAACCAAGGAAGAAAGGAAGCAAAGTTAGTAAACGAACTTGCATTGAGAAACCGATACGAAATTGCAAGGTAAACTCTTCCATAGGAATTTACGAGATAATGAAAGCATTATTACTGAAAACACCACATAATTACTACAATCATCGTTATTCATCGACATCAACATTTTTAACTAAGAGACAGATACAAAAATCTAAAATCAATAAGCTAAACGAGATAAATGTTTAATTCAATGGCATATAAATGTGAATAGTCATGTTTAATTATTTTTGTTTAATTTTTAAATTATCACATATTTACATAGGATTTGTATCACTCTTGTAGCCTTTTCGATAATTTGTTACGCAATCATTTTCGCAAAAAAAAAAATACGTAGGTTTAGTGAGAATAGTAGGCTCTATAAATTCACTTAGTCGGGGGCGCATTAAAGTATCCCCGGAGGTGAAGCAACTATCGCGTTCGCGCGTGAAGAAAGTTGGCAAACGTTAACTCGCGAAACTGAGCGAGCGCCGAAGGTGGTTTTAACTAAATCACCGCGGACTTCCAGCATGATCTCGTCTTAAGTGGCGCCCGTGGGACGTGTCCAGAGAAGAGCCGACATCCACAGAAACGGTAACTGGCGGTCCAGCCGTAAGCATTCGACCCGCGTGACTCGCGCATAACTCTGTTATCCCGCGAGGAGATGCGAGAACGGCAAAGTTTTCTCGCGAATATTATCGGTCGCGACAGTTTTATCGGTGTAGATAAAATTTCTCGCGATTATTTATTATTTTTATTCTGGAAAAGTCTCGATATACAAGACACGTCTTCTCTCATAGAAGAGTTTCTTTTGATTTTTAGAAGAAACGATGGCGACTGAAGATCCATCATGATATTACAACGAAATGTGTGATAAAAAAAGTATGCGTTCGTTTCCATTTATTTAGATTTTTATTTCTAAAGATCGTAGGATGAGACATCGGTTGGTTGTTTCAGCTCTTCGCTTAATCGATCGCTCGTCTTCTCCCGAGAGAAGCCGACGATGGATATAATAACCGCGTACGCATCATTAGCGAGAGTTTCTCAATTAATTACAAACAACTCCGGGATGATCGCGCGATCGCGATCTAATTTCGCGAACCGTTGATTATGCCGGCATTAAATTCCATCCCCGAGTCTCAATCGGATCGGCGAATCTAGCTTCTGCGCGAGTATGATAAACCACGCGGCGCAAGAAGTAGAAAGAGAGAGATCCTTCGCGCTTCCCAGAGTCCTCTTCTCCGTCCTCTTTTTTCCTTCCTCACACTCCTCAAGATATTCCGAGCCCCTGACAAAGTTCGTGGAGCGAAACGTCGGAATCTATTAAAGTCTCCCGCCTCACCCCCGTGAACCCCGACCCCTTATTTTCGATTGCTCAGCCTTCTCTCTGTCTGCTCCCTCTCCCTTCCCCCCTCTTTCTACTTCCCGATCTGGCTCTCGCGCTGGAAGTCAATCTCTTAAAAAGTTCTTCTTCGGAGCTCGTCCTCCGGAGTCAAACATAAATCAGATTACGCCGTCCTCGCGGACTCCCACTTTCTTCGCCATCCCTGTCGCTGTTACTCCTCCACCCCTTTCGCTCTGGCATCGAGAGTATTCGCTGAGAGACTTCGCCGGAAAATCGCGGAGATCTCTCTCTTTCTCTCTCTTGATGTATCTTTTTTATCCTTTTCGCCCATGTCGATGCACGAGATCGAAGTAGAGGACGATAACGGCGATGGTAAGGGATGGGAGGAAGAAGAGGGAGACGACAGGACGATATGGGCGCCGGCACTTTGGATCCTGTAAATAATGCATGCCGTAATTTCTCGCGACGGTCGGGCTCCTTGGCTTCCTGCGGGAAAGAAGTCCTCGGATATCTTCTCGGGAGTAAAACAGAGGATCCGGCCAAACGATCGGTCACCGTATATGCTGCGACTGTGTCATCTTTGACGCGAACGCGAGTTATAATGATTGGATTACGATCATGTGAAACGAGGTCATGTACCGGGAGATAAACGAGAGCGAGATGACAGACAGCTGATCGCAGACACGAGCGATCAATGTTTGCTTTTTCATGTGAAAATATTCGCCAATGGGACGTTCTGAAATAAATCATCAGCGAGAGGGGAAAACAATGAATCAATATACAACGTTGAGTTAGCATCGATATATCTCATAGAAACTCGAGATGTCAAGGGTCTGATAAAATTTTCCAAACAGTCTTTACGCTATCGAATGCATCCTTCATTTAATTGTTAATTGAGTTTAATTAAAAGTTTCACGATTATAGCTCTTTTTAAGAAAGTTTTACTCTCAAATCCGAAAGATTTCAATCATTCACAAAAAAATTGCAGATTGAAAGATATTAATTAGTATTTGAGGTAAATAATGAAGAAAATAAAATTGACGAAGATTGAAATTCCCAGCTGACGTGATTCCCTTATTACACCATCGTATCTGGCAAAGCGCATCTTTTAGCGAAGCAACGTATCCATAAATTACGTATCACACGAGCTGCGTAAACGCGTTCTAAGTTTGATAAAAATCCTGACCATCGACGGGCGACACATGAAGAGAACGGAATAGATTCACCAATTGTAAAACGTTGTATCGTATTTTCGCGAAGCACATCCGGTTTCTCGCATAGTTTCTCTCGGAATCTTCATCCTTTAAATGAACCGAAGCCATTTCGATGGGAGAAGAGGCCGGGGATATTTGCAGCGGCGACAATGAGAAAAGCTCGTTCTTGCAACGCGGAAGTAAATAAATGAATCGATTATACGGAGACAAATAAGCGGGTTGTCGAACGCGAGAGGATGGACTCAAGAGGACGAAAAGGGTTTGGGATCTATAAAGAGAAAGAGAGAGAGAGAGGAGAGGGAGGACCGATTGTCGAGAAAAAAATAACGGAAATTCTCGACAGGCAATAATAGGAAGCAATCCGGCAATTGGAAAGTAATTAAAACCCCATCAAGAGGCCGCTACGAATCCTGTTAACAGTTTCGCGTTACTCCGAGCCGATAGAATTAGCTTTTCGATTTTCATTTAGAGCAACTCCGAGGCCCCATCGCGTCGCGTCGCGTCTTTCTTCGAGTGCCGGGAGGACGCAAATCCTTTCCACGCACAAATGGAAATGAAATAATGGAAAGGAATAAAGAGAAAGAGAGAGAAATATAATTTATATAATGCACCGCGAAAGAGATTGTTATGCCCCGTGGACATTGACGTAGTACTGAAGTTCTATTATGGTTATATAATGTAATTTTAATCTAAAGCATTTTAGAGTCTCTTTAATCTAAAGATAAAATCGATCTGAAATAAAATAAAATGGAGCCATTCGTTGATTAAGATGTAAATAGTATTAGTATCTGTATTTCAGTAACTCTTACATTAATTAAAATAGGACACACTTCTTTCACCGATTTCTGGCATCAATTATTTTAATCTAATTTTCACGAAATTTAATGAAGGATTTCTTTTACCTAAAGAAAAAGTAAAGATTTTTCAGAATGAAGCTTTCGCGAAAAATAAGGGATTCCATTTACTCATCATGCTATGAAGAATTATATATATTTTTTTTAAGTAATTATTTATTCAGAGATATAAGAAGAGGAGAAATAAGAAGGATTGAAGATATGAAATAGTGGGAGTGGAAAGATTAGGAGAGAGCTCCTAGAAAGATTGTCAAGTTTTTCTTAAATTCTCTGGATGTAGCTTTCAGGATCGCTTAAATCACTACAAGAAGCTGAATGGGCGATTACAATTATACTTTCACTAAGATTTTTTCGTAGGCATGGATAGATTAATTCTCGAAACTTTTTTGGATGAACAAGAATATTTAATTCGACATGCGAGATTCATGCATTTTCCATCAATTATATATTTAAAAATTGTTCTATACATAAAATATAGTTTTTTTTTCTATAGTGCCAAAATGTTCCAAATGTACTCTTTGCTTCATCCTTAAAAATAAAAAATAAATGAGTAAATTATTTTTTTAAATCTCTCCTTCTGAGCGAGAATTTTATTTCAACAATAATTAACAGAAACTCACAGAGAGAAACGTTTGTTTGATGCGATTTCACGACTATATATACTCTCTCACAAAAACCTCGTCGTTGCAACTTTTAATGAGCGAAAATTAATAATTTTATAATGGAATTTTGTACACACGCACACACGTGTAGCGACAAAATGCGAATTCTGTTCGACTGACAATGTTGCCATACATATTACTTTATATGTGATGAAAATCTATTTTTCTGCACAAACGTAACTGAATAGAATGTAATTGAAATCAGGGCTAGTAACCGATTTTTTAACTAATTGTATGTTTTTTTTCTATTTTATCATCAATGTAATATTTTACATTTGCAGAAACCGGAAACTGCTCAATTTAATTTCCTTTTTAAAACAATAATAAATATAAGTAAATACAATAGCACGTATCTCTAAATGCAAATCGTTGAATGATGATTTTATCAATCTTTCATTAATTCCACGGTTGATAAAGAAATCACTTATTAATAAATAAGAAAGAAAGTAAGAAAGATAATGGCAAAACCGGAATTCACGAATATTTTCAGACGACCCTATGGTTAACACGGACTTCCCCGTTAAGAGATACACAGCTGTACAATATACCCAACCAGCGGCCGCTATTTCTCCGTTGTCCAAATCCACGCGGCATCTCTTGGTACCGGAGCCGGACCCACGATATTATTACACTCATCGAGCTCATCAAGAGACCATCACCATCGACAGAGATAATTTAAAACATGGTAAAAGACGAAATTCCGAATTAGTTCTTTTACTCTCAGGCAATGTTTTTTTTTTTTTATTCAGAGAAATGAAAAGAGCTAAAAAAAAATGATCAGTCAGAAATTTTAATCCCTCTTCAGAGAAATGTCGCTCTAATTTCCCAAGCTTTTATAATTCTCTTCCTTTGAAGATTTTAAGCAGATTACATTATTACTAAATTAGTGAATTTGAAACGATTAATAATTAAGTACAAATTTATATAATGTAAAGGTATACTTTATTAATTTACTGTTAATTGTGAATTAACACGATCAAAATATTAATACTTTAAAATCGCTTATAACGCTTGAAACGTGGCACAATAATACTTTGTGGAAATCTATTTTATTATTTATAAAGCTCGACATTAAATAATTTAAAATCTGCTACCACATCTGCTTGACATCGATTCGATAAAATTACGATGTCTATTATTTCGGGATGATCTCAAAAATAACTTTATCTCCATCAAGAATTTGTTGATATATAATTCCAAATTTAATTTTTTGTCAAAAACTATAAAGCAAGCGCGTTTGATTTAAACTTTTTAAATACTTGGTAATGTGTAAATAATAATGAGATTAATTCTTATAGGAGTAGCCGCAGCGTATCGACCGACGCCAGCGACGATTCGAGTGGTCACTGCTCTCCTGGGTGATCTTTGTAACGACGACAAGGATTGCACAATACCTAACAGCGAATGCTCAAACGGCGGCTGCATCTGTTCCGAGGGCTATGCGGAAACTAGTGATCGGCAGGAATGCTTCGGTGAGTCGAATTATCTTAATTATACACGTCGGTTCATTATTCTCTCATGAACTTTCACTGTATAAAATATTCAGCCCCAAGCTAAATCTTATATCAATGTTTCTCATTAAAGCAACATCCATTTCAAATTATTTGAACGAGTATATTAATTAATCGTAATAATCATAATTAGGGTATTAATATTAAGGAAGAAAGAGAGAGAGTTAATTGAGAAAGTTCGCGGAGTCTTAAATCATAATAATTCTCACCCAAACTTGTGTTAATGTTCGATCGATTATACAAACTCGACTCTACCACGCGATAAATTATCAACGTTGCTGTAAATTGGAAGAAAATTAACTTACGCTTAATCTCTGTCGTCAGCCAATTACGTGCCGGTGACGCCGACCGAGGAATTTCGCGCCTGCCTCTCGTATCCCTGTCATATGACCTCGACGTGCATCGACTTACCCAGCGCAACTTTCGTCTGTATCTGCCGGCCAAATTATACCGGATTGCTGTGCGACGAGGAGATCAACAAGCGAGATTACGAGATACCATCCTTTGACGGTAAAAGCTACGTCAGGATGAGTCGGCTGAAAGCGTATCACAAATTCAGCATCGAGGTCGAGTTCAAAACATACGCGGACAACGGAATCATATTGTACAATCAGCAGAAGAGCGACGGCACCGGCGACTTTGTTTCGCTGGCTATTGTCGACGGGTTGGTATCTTTTATCACGATAATTCTCTTTCTCAAAAAATATGCTCTTTGAAGATTTATTAACAAGCATATTGCGCAACACGAACTAATTTCTTTTATCTCTTGCATAATTTTATTTAAAAACCTCTCCCCTCTTATAAGATTGATTAATTATACAATACACTTTTTTAAAGTTAAAGCAATTTCTACTGTATAAAAATATAAGGAATATTATTTAATTGCTCTTGCGCTATTAACAGAAAATATATTTTAAAAACTCTGTTATTCATTAAATTTAGGATCACTCTATCTGACCTGTGTAACTCGTAATCTCTCAATGTGTCACAGATATGTGCAATTCAGATATAATTTGGGAAACGGACCTGTAGTTCTCATGTCATCGGAAAGGGTGACCATGAAGACCTTCCATAGAGCGGCGGCTAAGAGGTACCATAAGGACGGAGTGCTGATCTTTAACGACGGCGAGGATGTAGCCGGGCAAAGTCAAGGAATGTTAAAATCACTGGATCTGAATCAGGACACTTTCATCGGAAACATGCCGACTAATTACACCAAGTAATATTCGCGATTGTTGCATCATTAAATTGAGAAGGAAATTAATTAAGGCTTTTGATTAGAGACATTTAAAGATAAGATGCAAGATTGCGATTTTTCCGAACAGAGTCTACGACAACATCGGCACCAATCACGGATTTCTCGGCTGCATACGCAAGCTGAAGATCAATCGGATCAACGTGGATCTTCACGTGGGTCGCGACAAGGACGTCCTCGAGAGCTACCGCGTGAAGGAGTGCGGTGACAATGCCTGCGCCAATTTGCCCTGTCAAAACGGCGCGACGTGCCAGCCGATCTTCGAGGAGGATCTGTGCAACGGCCGGGAATGCAGGAGGCTGCAGAAAAGAGGCAAGAGCAGGAACAATCGAGGCGGAAAGGGCGGGGTGAACATAGTCAGATGCCGTGGTTCCCACTGCACGTCGATCGAGAAGACGAGGACCAAGAAGAACGCGAGGAAGCGCTGCGTCACCGGCAAGTGCGACTACGATTACGAGCTCAAGTACGAGAACGATTACGACCACGGCAATTATGCGGTGGAGAAGTACGAGCCGCCGGACTACAGATGCATTTGCCCGCCGCAGTTCACCGGCCGAAGTTGCGAGGAGTCGCTGGACCCCTGCATCGGCGAGCCCTGCCAGCACGGTGCCACTTGCGACATTCTGCCGCAGGGAGGATACGTGTGCAAGTGTCCTCCTGGTAGAACCGGCATACATTGCGAGATCCGTAAGTGTGTTGCTCGAAAAATATTAGGAAATTAAATCAAGAATAACTAAATTTTTCGCTTGCCAAAAAGCACACATGTTTATCTTTTTATTTAGATATAAAATATTGATTTTTTAATATATATATAATTTTATATAATTTTATTTTAAAAACCATGATATGCCATTTTTTACACAATGTTTTAAATTATTTTTTGCTTGCCAAAAAACACACATATTTATCTTTTTATTTAGATATAAAAATATTGATTTCTTAATATATATATAATTTTATCTAATTTTATTTTAAAAACTATACGATATGCCATTTTTTACACAATGTTTTAAATTATTTCAAATTTCATATCAATTTTAGTGGACGCCGATCTGACGGAATTGCTGATTCCCGAGATGAACGGTAACGGATATCTGGAGCTGCCTTGCCTGGAAGGCATCGCGAAAGCGTTCTCCATCGAACTGTGGTTCCTCACTCGCGCGAACGACGGTCTCCTGCTTTACAACGGTCAGCTAAACAACGGCAGGGGCGATTTCATAAGTCTGAACCTGGTCCACGGCAGACTCGAGTTCAGATTCAATCTCGGGAGCGGTATCGCGAACATCACGTCGCCTGATCCGGTCAGTCGCGATATCTGGCACTGTGTGAGAATCAGCAGACTCGGTAGAGAGGGAGTACTTCAGCTTGACGATGGAATCGTCGCTAGAGGATTATCCGGAAGTCCTCTCACGGAATTGAATCTGGAAATGCCGCTTTACGTCGGTGGAGTCAAGTGAGTGTTTTATATTTTCATTGAATTATATATTTATTTCTACTACCTTAATCATATTATCTTATTTTTTCCGTTTTCCAAGATAATTTCCACTTTTTCAAGATTTTTCTATATCTCCTATCACACTTTAAATTATACAATATTTTATAACACACAAATATAATTTATATCGCCCCTATTCAATTGTTTAAAAAATAATCCCAAAGCTGAGATATTCGGAATTGCTTGGTCTTTTAGACACTGGCGAGAAGTTCATCGTCTGTCCGGAGCCTGGACCGGATTGGTAGGCGCCGTGCAGAGACTAATGGTAAACGGCAAAACATATCAGAATCTCGCGGTGAATATTACTCAACACAACACGGAGATTTACGATGGTCTACCGTGTCCCAGCAATGAGAATCCTTGCCACAACGGCGGAGTCTGCCTTCCACTTCTCAACAGTTACCTCTGCAAGTGCGCCAATGGTTATAACGGTCTGCATTGCGAATACTGTAAGTTTTTTCCCCCAATTTCATTACGCACATTTAACTTCCGCCTACATTTCTTTTTACATATCTTTTTATTTTTCTACTTTAGAGATTTATTTATTTATAATTTATTTATATATGATAACAATCGTAAAATTTATGCCAGCCATGTATATATATTTGGATATTTTTTCAATTTTTATAAGAGCAAGAATACATTTTACCTTGCTAATAATTAACTACAATACTATGTTATAATTATATTTAAAAAAATAATTAAGCAAGTGATGAAAATATTTCTTTCAGTTATGGGTTACGACGTGTCCGGTACCGAGATATCGGAGCGACCTGTGCGTTTCGAAGGTGACAATTTCCTGCAATTCAAGCACCGCTACGGTAGAAGGTGAGTGACTCTTATTCTTTGAAGTTAGATTTCCGAGAAATCAATAACCGGAACTCTAGATTGCAACGGCGCACATCCTTTGTGATGTTCGATTAGGTGCACTTGAAATTAGCAACGATCGACAACTAGTGAGAGTAGATTAATTAGCTCTCCTGATTAACGATTAATGTCACTAACCTTTTGATTATGTAACCACTAACTAGTACTAACTCGACTAACACTACCCTCGGCGAGTACTTTGAGGAGTCCTACTCCGACTACGACTTGGAGGAGGATGTCGACTACGAGTACGACAGTTACGATTACACGGAGTAAGTTTTCTAATGGAAAGATGACTATGGTGTACTCGTTTGAGGGATAGATTAATTCTCCTGCTCGCGCATCGTAGTAATCGTGGCTCAATCCCCAATCACATCCCTAACAACCGTCTTAGATAGAGTAGATTGTTTGATTGTGTAACAGCAAACGTAACTGACGTAGATTACGTAGCATCGCAATTAAAGATACAATTAAACGGGTAGCAGTTTGTTTCTCGTACTAATTTTCTTATAATAATTTCTAATAATAATTAATAATTATCAGAACGAATTGTAATTATTGCTTATAAAAATTGACGAAAAACATTATTTTAATAATATTTAAATTCCATTTTTTTGTTTTGATATGTGTAAAGTTGAAGATTAAAAGAACCGACAAAATTAAGTAATTAGATCTTCAAAAAGTTCATCTGGTTAGGAAATAAAGGATTTATTAAAATAAATAAAAATAAAGATAAAAATAATAAATTAAAATAAAGAGTTTTATATCCATTATTTTGAACAATCTTCCCATCTAATTGTATCTTGATGTAGAAAATTGTATAGATTCGTAATGTGAATTATATATATTGGCATGAATGTGTCTGAGTGTCTTTAATGAATAGCTATTATTATGGACATGTTTGTTCAGACGCAGGGGACAGCAATCGAATAAGTTCGAGTTGCGGTTAAGAACGGTACATCCCGAGGGTCTCATCGCGTGGGTGGGAAGAGGAAAGTTGGAACACTTCTTTTTGTCTTTGCATGGCGGTCACGTAATACTCACTTACAAGAGCAAGATTGAAAATGTATCAGTAAAGAGCAAGGTAAGATAACATTACTATATTGATCAAGCATTATCTCGACAGTATTTTAATTAAATTTTTTTTCTCCTTTTTGTTAATTCTTAAATTCATAAATAATTATATCATAAATCTTTCTAGAAGAAATTTATTTGTTTTATATTTTTAATTATATTTGTTGAATATATCAATAAATAATGTATAGAATAATAATATTAATTTCTAATAAAATATCTGTCCGATATAAGCTGTCTATTTCTACTAGAATGCAAATAGAAAACTGCGTAAGCAAATAAAGCTTGATATTTTTGTGATTAGTAAGACATTTTTTTCTCTACAATACAATAAAGTTAACTGTCTTGAAAATAAATTTATTTTACAAGAATTGATATATATATATATATATATATATATATATACCACCACATCCGAGCGTCTCGACGACGAAGAGCTTGTACGCTCCAAATCGACGAACACGCGCCCGTCAAGGTCTCGATGGAAACGACGTTGCTGACGACCAACGGCAAGCTTTTTGTCGGCGGCAAACCCGGTCATCCCGGCATCAAGGGCTGCGTGACGGATTTCATCGTCGACAAACGGCGATTGCCGTTGGCCAGACGAAAGATCGATTTCTGCCACGATAACGACGTATGATAACGAACCCCGAGTTCGACGATCGTCAACGCGACGTCGACATTAAAGAACCCCGTCGACCTGACGACGACGAGCGAATTAATCGCGCGATTTGAACGCGAGCCTTCGTAAAAGTAGTAATGCATCGCGTCGGACAAAGATCGACGATCGCCTAAACGCCGACAACGATAAACATGATAACGAATTCCGACGATAGTGAACCCCCATTGAAGACTCAGTGAGCGTCCCTGCTTTTCCCGTAGCGAAAAATAATAGACTGAACGTGAAATATAAGGAGAAGCGATAACCGAGACAAAGTAAGTGTAAAAGAATCATGTTCAATCCAATCCGATTGTGACGTGTTGATTCCTGCCAGAGTTGTACGAAGATTTGGATCACGTCCGTGCGAATGGTCCTTGATGTAGCGCGTCTCGGAAAAAATTAAAGCCTCATTCCTGGCACTATATCTTTGAAATTCTCACACAGGAATGCAAATCAGAAACTTTGCTCAGAAGTCTGGTATTGCATCTTCCGTGCGATGATTATGGCAACGAAATCAGAATTGCAGAGATTCGAATTAAAAAACTGACTACATCTCCCGTTCTCAAGAATGATTTTCGAGATATTTTTGGGAAAATGAGAACTCGAAAAAGAAACCGGACCAAGACCGGAGAATCTTCAGTCTTAAATACAGTGTTACGTCTCGTTGAAATAACGAGGATCGAAGTAAGCCCAGAATTATGACCAGTAATGGCATTATTCGTTTAAAAGTCTGAATAAGAAACCAGAGCCAGAATGAGAACCAAAAACCTTCCATTTTAAGATACCGCGTGTCTACATAAGAAGACGCCACGCTACCGAAGAGTTTCAGTGACCCTGTCGTGTGAAATATGCGGACACTATTAGAATTTTTACCGACGTATGTTAGGAGCTTCTCGAGTACTATCTTCTCTCATAGGGCCATCCAATAAATAAGAAATAAGGGATTAGAAGAAGTACTTTCTCAGTCTAGTGACGCAGTATTCAATCACTCGCTATTCTTCGAGCCGACCACAAGTATCGAGGTTTAAGCGTAGATGAAAGCTACAAGATCGATCGTCTCGCGATTATTTCACGTTATCATCCGGATACCGGAGATCAATCATCGGGATCGTCGTCGCGCGGATGGAGGAGAAAAAAGGAACAAACGGTGAACTAAGTGCTACATTCTCATCGAAAGACAATAATATATTTTTAAGGTAACGAGATTAATATACATATGAATACGTATATATATATATATATATATGTATGAATCTATCTCTGTATACGCGTATGTGTCGGACGTGTGCGTGCGCGCACATTTAGTGAATTTAGCGAGGAGAGAGGCGAGGTCGCTTATGAAGTGGCCGTCGTGTTATAGGATCTATACTTATAAGTTGTACCGAAGCACATCTAAACGTTTTACAATGCCAAGACTGATTAAAGCGGACGCGAACGGACGACGAAATAAAAAAGAAAAAAAAAGACAAAGAGAAACGACAGAAGAAGAGAAAGAAGAAAAATGATAAATCGGTGTTATGTTTGAATGTTCGGTAGAGAGATTTAAATGACCGTGGATTTTCCAGAATAGAAGAAAGATGTATTTTAATGGACTTGTTGATTTATTGCCAGTAGTAGAAACGAATTCACACGATACATTGTTTTTAGGTAGAGAAGGCTTTTTACAAAATGCGCAGGAGAATAAAAAAATATATTATATATAAGAGAAGTCTACATTCCATTTGATGGACGGAAACCGGGGTTAAAATTTTTAGGTAGACGCTAATGATGACCGGCGTAAGCGCAGTCCGTGGACGTTCATATCCCGCGAATTATAGAACTAAAAAAAAATTATATTCGCGCAATAAGCTTATTTAACCCATTCTGTAAAAAAGAGAGCAATAATTATTTAAACTTAATATATAAAAGTAATGAATCGAATTAAATTAAATTAATTATTATAAAGTAATAAATTATTTAAATTGATAAAGGATAGATATCTTTTCTCGCTTAATTCTTCAAGGACTGAATATATTTTGATTTAGGTTTTAATTAAAAATTTGACATTTATATTTACATAAGCGTATTGAAAAAATACATTATTTATATTATTCGCGTATTTTTTGTAATATATTACCAAAAATTCAGTAATATTATAATTTATGTATCTTGAATTTTAATTACATTATTATAATTATTTGAACATCACAATTCGACTAATCAAGCTAATAAATCGAATATTAATTCCCGCAAGCTTGATTCTAACAAAGATCAACATTTTATAGAAGGAAACCCTATTTTAAAAGAAATAAATTGATCTTGTCATCAAATGTCGGATTTGAACGCGAATGGACTTTCTCCGAAAGTTACGCCTATGCACGCTTGCATTATGACAAAAGGCAACAAGCAAAGTTCTTCGCGTAGCAGCGGAAGCTCGCGATCGGTGTAACCGATCCCAATTTAGTTAGCTTGAGTCCGCGTAATCCAGGACGTGCATGAGCGACGAAGGGGAGAAGCAGATGCGCGAGACGGTTCTACGCGAGTGGCCTGTAAATAATTTCCACGTAATGCTAAATAACGAATTAATTATTCGTTCTAGAGAGTGTACCATATACTTATAACCGGACCTAAAAATCATTGTAACACGACCTAATTATCATAATTAATTCACGGATTAGCCTTCGAACGATGCTCGCGATGTGCATCATTTATTTTTCGCGTGATCTCGACAGATATATTACATATGCACGCAAATACATATATGCACGCATATATATATATGTATGTTTATATGTATGTATGTATGTGTGTGTACACACATACATACAAAGTGGACACACACACACACACACGTCGAGTTAATGATGCGACCGTGTTTTTCCCTTTGGACGGATTATAGCTAAACGCCTAAGTTAATTGTAAATTTATTATCGTATGCAACCCCGTTGTTGATAATAATTTAAAAACCGCCAAAAGTTTCCAGCCTTGTCTACTTTCGCGAACGAAATGTAAAAAATACACGGAATAAAATCCGTTTCGCAAATGAAATCATAAGAATACAACAGACAACAAATTTCTAAAAGATCAATACACGAAATGTACTTTGCAGTATTAATTCTTCTTTTCACGTCTCTTGAAAAATTCGTAGAAATATACGGTACGAAAAAATCTTTCATTCTCGACCACGTAATTCTCGCAGGCAGCAACACGCGAGCAGACGGGTAATAATTCGAAATAGCGAGACAGGACAGGTCTGGGAACGGTGGGTGGTTTACGGATGTTTACGTGATTACCATCGGCAATGTGAGCGCGAGCAGCGGAAACGCTTCCTTCCGGTCACGTAAATGTCGGAAATAATATCGGCGCGCGAGGGGCCCTTCGAGAAATACCGAGGTGTGTACAGGTACGTGTGTTCGACGACGCGCATTTCTACAAAATCCTCGGTAACGCGTAAGAGAAAGTTGAGAAACACCGTCGAATATTTCGCTATTTTCTACCACCTGTGAGACTATAATCCATTTTAGTCGCTGTCTGCGGTTGCAACCGCTCGACAAGCGTTATATTGTTACGATTACCAATATTGCGTCGAATCCCGAAGAAAAACAAAATTGGTTAGTATAAAAAAGCGAGAATGCGTTAAAAAGAATGATATGAATATATTAAACGCGTAAACTTAAGAACGCAGTAGAAAATGCAGCATATGGTCAGACACGAGATTATATCGATAAGATTAATACGATCGATATTAATCGAACATTATTATCGTATAATATTGCGATACTTCGAAAGGTTGAAAAGATTATTTAATAAAGCAAAAAGTGAATATTTATACGGCAACATGTCGCTAAACCGGAAAGTCTTCGGGATAAAATCACGCTGTTGGCAATCAAACTTAATGTAACTCGGTCTAAGAAACGCTAGCACCATAGTGATCACAATATAGTCGAATATTGGCGAATACTATAATAGTTACACACAAGGAAACAACGATTTCTCGCTTCTGGAAGAAGGAGCATGAAACGATCGATAAAGTTACGCAACGTCCATAATCGCAATGTATCGATCGCTACCATAAATCGTTCGTTATAAACATCTCCGGAGACAATGTATAAAAGGCTTGATTCAAACTATGGGCTCAGTGATGCTTCAAAAAAGCTTCATAATGTGTCATAATATATATCCCATTTCAATCTCGCAAACCTAATCTAAAAAAACCCTATTTTAAATTAACAAATATAATTTAGATATAAAAATATTTTATTTATATATAATCATAAGTTTAGATAGATAATTTTAAATTGTATGAATAATATACATAACGAGACTTTTGTACTTTACAATGTAAGACTTGCGTAGAATTTTTTTCTAAGGTTTCTTTTTATTTCTTAAGATATAATTATTTAATTAAACTTATGTTTATATTGAATTTTAGAGGCAGACATAAAACAATAAAGTTAAAATTATGTTGTAAAATTATAAATTCTTTCATATATCGAGTACCCTAAATAATTAGCTAATGCGTTGCTTGATTTAAAATTATTATAGAATTAATTATATAATTAAGTATAAATAATATATAATAATAGAATATATATTGATAATATATAAGTAATAATAACATTATAAGTTAGAGGATAAAATTATTTTCTTATGAATGTGTTAAAGACAAGTAGCTTTTTTGAAACTTTTCAATATGTCAATCCAAATTAATCCGTCCCTGATAGTGTGAATCAAGCCTCATTAATCTCGGTCGAATATTGACATCCTGCATTTAGCGCTAAATGGGTCCATTTGATTTTCATTTCTCGAAGATCGTCTTTATGGTAGAAAAATACAATTCGAAATAAAATAGCCACATTTTCGACGCCAAGTGTGAGATGTTAATGCGCGGCTTGGAAAATACGCTTACCTGAAATTGCGGCGAACATCGTCGGATTTTTTTGACTTGTATTCGAACATGCTTTATATGCATATGTCGTAGTGATTCTAGCTACTTCGTGAAAAACCGAGAATTGGTGTAAAATGCATTGGTATAAGATGTATTAAAGAAATCTCCAAAACGAAACTACGCAAGATTATATCATATAATAGGACATATTATTGTAAAAGCTGAAAATCTTGTCCATTTTACGCGTCACGATATTTCACGACTTAATTAAGGTCGTGATATTTCTACGACATATCGATCGATTGCGATCGCGATCCCAGAGAGAACTATATCCGTGAGCAACGCGAATATTAATCGCTCGCAATCTTTGCATACATATCCTTTCCCGTCTCCCACTCCCCGCCTTTTCCCCCTCCCACGTTTTCGATACGCAAATTTTTGTCTTTTGGAAAGTTTTTTATCCTTCCCGCGTTTGTCCCATCGTTGACATATCAAAATGCACCAGTATAACGTGAAGCCCCACAAACGAGAATGGAGAAACTCGAAAAAGCAATTGTTGAACATCTTTATTCTATTGCACTTCTTGCTCACATATTCGTAATTAAAGATGACGAAAAAAAAATAATGGAGGAAAAGTGTATTTGCGCTTCTCGAGACTCGATGCACATTTTATTGTAAATTAAAATTTTTTAATACCTTTTTATATTTTCCAAGAAACGTTTTTACTCTTTGTATTTATATATTTCTCTTTTTTTTCTCATTGGACTTATTTATTTTTTCTCGATTATGCGATAAATTTAAGAAACTATATATTGTAAATATATAATTCTCGAAACCTATTAAATAAATTTAATAAAATTGCCATTTTAAATGAGTCAAAGAGAGGCGCGAACAGAAAGAAGAAAATTTGCTTCCGTTGCAATATACGACTAACGCTACTGCCAATATAGAGATAGAGACCCTCGATCGATGTGTTTTTTCTTGGAAGGAGTGTATACATTTTGACGATCGTAATATTCACGTATCATCGAGTGCTGTATCGAACTTGCTGCCTTTGAACGTGCGAAAGATTCAGGCCTTCTATTCTCACTGCTCGTTTGGTGCCAAAGTTGGCAACAACTTTTGCCAGTACCATTAAGACGTATAAACATTTCGAGAGTTCGCGATTCTAAATTTTTCCCAGACCGAGGGCTTTGAAGCGAACGACTGAAGCAACTGCATTAGCTGGCGCTAAATACGCGGTGAAAATACGAGGCTTCGGTCTGTCCTGGCATCTTATGTTAAGGAGGCTTATCGAGAAGCTTCCGCTCGGACGGACATTAAATACCCCTTTTCACAGCGTCGTCGCCGTCGTCTTTTTCGCGCGAGAGAAATGTACGCCGCACAAGGCGCCCCTCTTATTAATTAGTTTCTTTTTTACTTTGATATCGTCTTTACCAAGATCACACACCTGGCGTTCGCTGACCTAAAGTAATCGAGCTATACACTGTGTAACAAAGTGCGCGTTGTAAAGTGACTGTATATACAAATATAAATTATGCGATTACCTGCTCTTTACTTCGCACGTCTTCTCCTCTCCTCCTCTAAAATCTGCTCCTATTTTTAAAATTGTTTAGCTTGAAAAGAAAAATACATATATATATTAAAATAATATAATCTTAAAAAATCGTAAAAAGATATATGTGAGATGTACAAACTATCCAAATGTCTTCAAAAGAGATTAAGTAAAAAAATATGTAAGATATATTAATTATTTATTACGCCCTATATTTATACAACGATGACTCAAAGAAGTGTTCCATAAAAATTGTATTAATCGTACTGATTATATTTTACTGTCGCATTAACGTATTTCATTTGCACTACCCGTGGAATATTTACATCGATTTGCAGGCATTCATTCTTAACATATAGAACCCAAGAGACGAATACAACAAATCACATATTATACAATGGTCTCATTTGTATTACTATAAAATATAGGCGAATAAATACAGGCTGCGAATGTTCCTTTCGAGGATAGATAATATTAATAGAATTAGAAAATAATAATCTTTTATATTTAATAATTAGATGGTAATTATTATATAATTATTAATTTGTCATTATTTACATTAAGTGTCCAGCAAATCCTTCCGGATTTCTTGAAGTCGTTGATTATACTCTTCACGAATTTCTTCGATGGGCTTAACTAAAAATATCGGCACATCATCGTCTCTTCTCTGTAAAAAAGAAATTGAATTTATGTTATATAATATAACGTAATAAAAATATTAACGGAATAATACATTAATTATCAATTTTTATCAAGTTTAATCTTTGGTGATACATCTGTAAATATAATTAGATTTAAAAAATCTGTATTAAATATAAGAATATTACTCATTCTCAAGCCGATTTACCTGGAAAAGGCATTCGCCTTCGAATTCCAGATACTTCTGCTTCCTCGCTCTCAATAACAAGCCTACGCATTTACTGCTAATATTAGTATAAATATTGAAGATATCACCAAACGTAATGGCAATTACGTCGGGATGATCTCGGCAGGGTGTGCCTTCGTGACTAATAATTTCACAAAGCTCCAAAATTTCCTTCAGTATATGGGCATTTGCCTTGCGACCACGCAGATCCGATAAGGAACCTGCTTCTGGTCTGAAGCAAATAATATCACAATTAAATTGTAAATATTATTATTGATAAAATTATATATCGCATTAAAAAAAAACAGAGTTTTCATTAAATGACAAATCTAACTAAATTTCAAGTACCTGCCGTATTCCTCTTTGGAGAATTTTGGTTTTTCAATGTTTATACCAGACGTGAATGGATTTTTGCTCTGCTTATCTTTGTGTTTGTTGGCATATTGATTGAACATAGCAACCTTGGCACCCAAGGATTCCTTCAAAAGTGATACAAAGACATATTTATTTTTAATTCGTTATTTTTAGTCGATTTAGTATTTAGTTCAAATTGCTCGCGTAAAGAATGATTTTCAACTTGAAATTTAAAAAATGGAAGAGAAACACATAAATGTAAATTCCCTGGAAATGTTTGAAACTTAAAGTTGTTTAGAAAAGGAAAACTGCATATTAAATTACGCAGACGTCAATGAGTTAAGTCATTCGACGCCTAATAAGCCAGGAATTTTTTGGAATTCTGCCAATTTGAACATATGGATTGACCCTGACCATAAAAGATGTCTTAGTGGCATCTTGACAAATTTTCACGGTCATATCTGTAGTTACATTCGTTTATACGTAATCATATTTTCCTATTTATTCGTTTCAAAAATTGAGTTTTAGCTATCTTGTCACTTTAGGGAAAAAACTTTAAATCTATAAAATTGTCACTCTTTTAAGAAAAATGTTACATTTTGTTTCTAAATTGTATTTTTCTCATTTGTCAAATATTATAATCTTTTAAAACGTGATATTAACAACGCGCATAAAAAGCTTATTGAAAAAAAAATTATCCATTTATTTCTATAATTTTTATTCGTCTTTTATCTTCAATATGATATATATCTTTGTATTAATATCTAGCCTATCTAAAAATTTCCCTTAAGAAAGCTTTTCATTCAATTTGTATATTTCAAGACATTATTATTAATGAATGTTTTCCGATAATTCTATAGTTGTGTGCGTAACTGAAAAACTTCACCAATACTTACATACATCGCCGAAGACATTGCAGCCCCACAATTTTAATCCAACAAAGTTTTACAAAATAAAACCAACGTTTTAAAAAAAGGAAGAAATTTTTTATCTAAATGATAAATTTTGAAACAACACCGTGCTTCACCTTTCGATATTCCAATGACGTTTTTGTTCACCACCGCCGGCGCGAATACGACGTCGCGACGTCGGACGTCTCTTTTTATAAGAAACCGACGGCACCGAGAGGCTCCCACCTTTCGATATTTCGGCTCGGGCCGAAATATTTGCCGCATTTCCGAGCCGATTCCCGGACTCTTGATTGGCTGCCAGACGACCCTGCGCGTTCCGGAAGTGATAATTCTTCAATTGCGCGCCCCAGCTGGCCCGCAAATTCATTCATGTTCTGCTTTCGGGAATTAATCCGCAAGCAAATTTCTCTCTCGCTCTTCTCGTTTGTTTATCTGATAAATGCTTGGTACAGTATATTTGCAAGAAACAGATCTTAACATTTCCAGGGAATATCAATATGCGTTCGCTGCCATAAATTTCGCTTGTTAACCGTTGAAGACTTGGCTGACCGGTATTTTGATTCAGATCTATTTTACTTAATTAAAATAATCGGCATGTTTTTTATTATCTATAACAAGATTTTGTAAAAATTTATTCAAATTATTTCAATTTATTTCGGAATATTATAGTAGAATTATGCATGAAGAAGTTGACGGGACAGGGGGACGGGTGGCACAAACCTATTCGATCCTTACAAATAAAAAATTCGGAAGATCCTATGCCCTGATTTATGCGCATCCGAACACCAACTCGTATATTGTCAATCTGTCAGTGATTTGAATAATTACACAACACGTTTAGACACCTGAGTACACCTGATAAAGAGGCATGAGACGTGCAACGAGTATTTGACGCGTATTCGACGGCACGGCGTGAATTTGATTTCCCAAATTAACTATCGGCGAGGAAGCAGACAATTTGTCACTGACATATTGACAATATACGAGCTGGCGTTCGGACGCGCATAAATCAGGGCATAGGATAGTCTTTCGAATTCCTTATTTATAATGATCGAATAGGTTTGTGCTACTCATCTCTCTCTCCCCCATTAACCCCTTCATGTATAATTCTACGCTGCTTTACATAATGTCTATTGAAGTTACTGCTATTTCGTTATCACGACAAATTCCATTTTTATTTGGCAAAATATGTATTCCACCTAAACGTTTCAATTATTTTGTTTTATTATTATAATTAATATATAAAATAAGAATTGTAAAAATGTATAACTGAGATTTACAAAAAAGAGAGAAGTTATAATTTAAAATATTATGACTGATAATAATAGCGCCGTAACACACAATTTCCGGGATATTATTCGTAAGTTACGTAAGTCTCGCGAAATTTAATTCATTACGCAGATCGATCTTTTATTCCTTTCGCGAGAAACGTTAATTGCGCGCAAACATCGCCGGATGGCTGGTCATAAAAGGAGCCTCAGCAAGTTGACATTTATGACGTCGCATTCTCAGCGTTCAGAAAACGCATTCTGAAATTAGATTTGTCGCATCAACAAATGAATACGTCATTCTGTCCTTCTTACTATAGTGCGAAGTCCGAAAATGCGCACTCGTAATGACATTTTCTTTTCTTCCTTTTCTAAAGAAAATCATTTCTTTAAAAATTTTAGCATCGGGACATTAAAATAAATTGACAATTTCTTACAATTATTTTTATATATCGCAAAATCAAATAAAAAAGCTCGATCTTGACGTGAGTGAAATTTTTGAGACAAATTTAGATCCGGATAATATTAAAGATGCTGTGAAAAATTCCAGAGATCATACATATAACGATCATCGCGCCAGAGGATTCTATAAATTATCCCACTGATGACCCTCGCAATGTGGCGATGACCCCGTAGTGAATTCTTTTGTTCTCTTTGTGAACAAATCTCATGTCAAAGATGCAATAAAGCAAAATCTGCTGGAATAACGCAATAAGACTAACCTAAGACAACGTATGCAATCAAAAGTCGGCCACGTGCGTGCTATAAATAAGCAAGAGATGAGCTTGGATTCGTACGGTATAACGGAAATAGGAGTATGCTGGAGTTTACGATGGTGATGTCTCTCAATGAAACTGCAAAGTATCTTTATAAATACAGCAAGAAGATAAACTTTGGAAGAATTTTCCCTGCTGCGAAGCACACTTAAATCTTCCTATTTGCTGCAGGAAGTTGCTATAAATCTATAGCTTATTATTTTTCTTATGAGTATATTAATAACAGCGTTTTATATATGGAATCATTCGCTCCCCCTTTTGGAGATCATGATCAACGACATCCAAATTTAAATACGATGCTATTATATGATAGGCATTCAAAGCCGTCACATGAAAGCAATATTTCTCCAACCGATAAGATGTGCAACTTGTTTTTGGCACGCCGCGCCAAATTTCGAAGTAATTAGGCGAATCCGCGTTGACGAACTGATGTAACCGAGGCCAAATGAAAGTCATAAAGTCGCACGGATGACATCAAGCTATTTCCTTGAATTATCTAGACATCTAATATAGCGATACAGTAATTTAAGATTAATGTAGCGTCTCACTATTTCATCTGCGGAATAACCACTAGAATCAAAAATCTAAAATGCAATTTAATTTTAAAAAATTTGCGTTTTTTGGACAATCACACACATGACACATCGAAAGGCCACGCGTGAAACGTTTGCACGTGCGTCAACGTAAATGCACGCGCCATTGACCGATGTCAACGACACGTGGGTGTCGGTATTCGAGTCTTTTCTCCGTCACAAACTCGAGATATTTGGCACTCGTGTTTTATTAGTCACAGCCGGTATTCGCGCGACTAACAACTCGTCCATTTTCATTTTTATTTTATTTTTTTTTTAATTTTAATATAATCGATAGAGTTCTTTCGGGAATAAAAGATCTTGATACATTAAAAAAAAAAGAAATTACTGTTCAACAGCAAAAATAAAATAGTTGCTTCAAAGATAAATAAATTATGTTAATATCGAAAAAAATAACGACGTTTTAAAATCGCATCGCAAGCTTTCAAATTCTTTAATGAGTACTTTTGGGAGTGCGACACAATATACATTATCGTGTAATGTTTATTAGTCATCGATGAAATAAAGAAAATAGATATATTTTCTTCTTAAAACATTGACCGCCAAAAGAAACTTGCAAGATGAAATATAAATTAGGTCATCAAACACATATAAAAAGGGTCAGTTTCTTAATTCCTAGCCTTGGATAAATGACCTCGTTGAACGCTACGTCTTTTTTTTTTCATTTAACAGTTCAAAATAGAATATTTGACAATCTGAAAGTTTCAGAAATTCTCTGAAAAGTAATGTTAGTAATTTTAACAAAGTTAAACGTAAGAGAGAATTTCTCGCTCAATTTTAATCACGCTCATTGAACATTCGGCATTTTTATCGTATTATAAATATTTTCTGACGTAAAACTATTTATTTATTAGACACGCGCATAGAAAAAATATATATAAAATTCTATAATAATTTAATTATAAATAAAGATAACACTATGTAAGAAACTCATAAGTGCCTCTACACAAAAGATTAAAGAAAGCAGGTTGTCTTGACGTAACGATCGACCTGGATAAAGTAGAACATGTATTAAGTGTACCGTTAACATGCACGCGCGCTCGGCTAAAAACGGAAACCAGGAAATATCCGCGAGTTGTCAAATTCGCGAAATCTTGTTTATATTTCTGGCTTGTTGAAAATCCCAATTTGGAATACGTATTTTGCCGTAAATGTCATCTCGATCCGTCTCGAATTCGACGTTTTGCTTCTCCTTTTCAACACGTCTGGGGCCGACTAAAATATCAATGATACGTCAAAGAGTTGTTAGAAAACGTTTAAATATTAGAATAACAAATGAGTCGTCAATTCAATCGCGGAAATCGCGACGCGCGAGCGTCTCTCTCGTTAGTTCTCAGTTATTTTTGGCCGTCGATCGCGTTATTTTCGGCCGCGTTCGTCATGAATCCGGAATTCGTGACGACTAATCGTCTTTTAAATCTATTTTACGAGGTTTTTCCTTCGACGATCGTCCCAAGTTATCCGCAATGAAAGAAAAGTGAATCATTTAAACAACTCGGAAGTAAACGCCCGCGCAAAATAATGAAAAATATATAGCCACTCTTTTCTTCTTGAATATGTGTTTTGTCAATATAAGAATTTACTTCATCAACGAAAAGAAATTTAAATATACATATACGTATATATTCGCATAACTAAAGAAATAAAAAGAAAATTAAAAGTCGTGAAAAAATTCGAAGTCAAAATAAAAACTAAACGTAATAGAGCCAGTAGTCACGTCCGGTCATTTCTTCAATCAGACACGTAGAACGGTCATCAGTCTACTTGAGTATCTCGAGCAAAAATCTATATATCAAGAGTAGATCAAGGAAACGGCCTTCATGGTTTGCCACTGTAAATAATATTGTCACTGACCTCTTCAGAATCACTATACTTCTCCATCTCTGAGCCGTAAAGTGACATCGTCGCGAGCGCCAAAATTCTATCGAAGGAATTATCGGGTTACCTAATTGAATTGACTCTAGGAGGATCTTAAATTACGTTATCGCGCACGTCAAAGTTAATTTTCTTCGCGATCTTTGGAGGCAGCACTGACCTCCGTCACAATGACTTTGGAACGGCTGCTCGATTCTATTTATGATCGTAGCGAGCACGTGACGTAGCCGACATCTTCGAGAATTTGAATTAAATACTTTCTATTAAAACGACAAAAATGTAGTAAGTCTCCTTATTACTGTATAATGCATACAATTTTTGTAAGAAAATCAGTAAAAATTATATTTTTACATAAAGAAAATAGTGAAAAAAATCGCAAGAAGATTCAGTGGTAAAAGTCGGACGTGGTCAGCCAGTAGTTATACCCGCTGGATATTTACAATCTTTTAACTGTATCTATATTCGCTTGTATTCCTTCAACTTACAATATTTAAATAAATATTTAAATTATAAATATAAATATTTTATTATNTTTAAATTTATTTATTTAAATTAATATTTAAATAACTAAAAGTAAATAAAAAGAACTTTTGTGATCATAGAAAGCAGCATCTTTCATTGCCTTCTTATAATTATTATTCAATAAAGAATAATAATAAATAATATGTTTTTTCTTATATTCAAAAAATATAAAAACACAAAATTAAAAGAAAAAATCGAAAAATTTATCGCTCTCTCTTTCTCGGATTTCCCGCCGGCTCAAAGTCCCCGAAATGCAACACGTCCCTGTTGCTTTAACAATAAACGTAAAATGCGAGCGAAAGATCAATAAAAACTGCGATAAAACGCGCAAGATACATCGGCGACGATCTCGTTATTCAATTACACCCGGCGGTCGACGATGTCGTCGCCTTCTTCGCGGATTAGCCGCGTTGAAAAACATGTTCTCAGGAAAGGAGACGGACCTGCGGAGACGGACATACGAGCGTGCGCATCGGAGCGGAATGCACCGAGAGCGAGCGAGCGTCGGCCACGACGACCAAGTCGTTCTTTTGTCATCGCCGAGGAGGAAAATAGACGCTCGCCGACCAGCCGGGGACCAATCGGGAAGGGCCGCAACGCGGAAACGCGTGCGGGCGCAAGCGCCGCAAACGCGTTTAGATGGCACGTCGGTCGTTTGTTCATCCACCCCAGATCGAGCCTTCTCTCTTTCTCCTTCTCCCAGTCGCTCACCCTCTTCCTCTCACCCTCCCTCAATCTCTCTCTCTCTTTCTTTCCTTCGCGCTCCTCGAGCTTGCGTGCGCGGCTGGAACGACGCGGAAAGCACGTCGAAGCGGTGATTTTCGAAGCGAAGATCCATCGACGTCGACGTCCCCGGGTGAGTAAATCGTCCTAAACGACGACGATTAATCACCTCTTCAATCGAAATAACATTCTCAACGTCGCGAGAGAAAGACTTCGATCGGTCCTGCTGCGTGCAAGCTCAAGCCGGCAAGCGCCGGCCAGCCAGGGAGTATCGATTCGAGCCGGCGCGCCGCTCCTCGGGCGAATCCGCCCTCGACTCGTCGCATCTCGTAAGCTCGTCGCACGTTCACGAGCCGGGGGTTTCTCTCCGAGCGGACAGGTAAAGGGTTTCCTCCGAGCGGCGCGAGTCTGATAACGCGACGACAGGGAAGGCCGGCCATTACGCGTAACGTGATTGTTACATTCGATTAAATAATCGACGGTTGTGTGCTCTACGCGTTATTTTTCCCCGTCCGAAACTCTTTCCAGGATTACGCGATTATCCCCCGGGGTGTGGAAGCTTGGTGCGGATCCGGGTGTGTACGTCGTCGCGATCGATCGATTCCGGGCGACAGTTCGATCGAGGTAAGTGGTACCGATTCACCGACGATGGTCCCGAAGTCGTTACGCGATGTGTCGTAATCGCATCGTGATGCATGTTGCATCCGTATGTAGTCTTTCCGAAACGCATCCACCTGGGAAGGAATATATCCGAGCGAAATTTCCGACCGCACACGATCGTTTGTGAGAGCAAAAAATCGTGAGGAACCGCTCATTAATCACCTCTTCAATCGAAATAACATTCTCAACGTCGCGAGAGAAAGACTTCGATCGGTCCTGCTGCGTGCAAGCTCAAGCCGGCAAGCGCCGGCCAGCCAGGGAGTATCGATTCGAGCCGGCGCGCCGCTCCTCGGGCGAATCCGCCCTCGACTCGTCGCATCTCGTAAGCTCGTCGCACGTTCACGAGCCGGGGGTTTCTCTCCGAGCGGACAGGTAAAGGGTTTCCTCCGAGCGGCGCGAGTCTGATAACGCGACGACAGGGAAGGCCGGCCATTACGCGTAACGTGATTGTTACATTCGATTAAATAATCGACGGTTGTGTGCTCTACGCGTTATTTTTCCCCGTCCGAAACTCTTTCCAGGATTACGCGATTATCCCCCGGGGTGTGGAAGCTTGGTGCGGATCCGGGTGTGTACGTCGTCGCGATCGATCGATTCCGGGCGACAGTTCGATCGAGGTAAGTGGTACCGATTCACCGACGATGGTCCCGAAGTCGTTACGCGATGTGTCGTAATCGCATCGTGATGCATGTTGCATCCGTATGTAGTCTTTCCGAAACGCATCCACCTGGGAAGGAATATATCCGAGCGAAATTTCCGACCGCACACGATCGTTTGTGAGAGCAAAAAATCGTGAGGAACCGCTCTTAGGGATGATGGTTTCTCGAGGAGATTCCTGGTACGGTGATACCGCAATGCTTCGGATCGAGTAATCGCCTCTGAGAAATGGCCGCCTTCGTGGGGCTATAACTATTATTAGAAGAGGTAGGCCGGCTACAGACAGACGCGGGTTGCAACGCGTCGTGCGTAAATGAAGAGATGCAAACTAATTGCGAGATACTGAGATTCCCTAGACGCATCTGTCGGAGACACTCGTACCGACGTCGGTTATAAAAAGGAACGTATTTTAAAAATGAAAATTAAAAATGAAATACGTTCTCTAAGTTATACTTCTCTCTTAAAAAATTTTATAGGTGAATAATTTAAAATTAAACGATTAGCGTGTGTTGTCTAATCTCAGTCTAATCTATTTTTTTGCTTTATGTACATCGGGAAATATATCAGTTTGCGGTATAATTTAATTTAGTTGAACTTTAAAGTCTATAACGACTCTCGATAAAAACGTATTTAATAAGAATAAAATTTAAACACCAGACAATAAATATTTATCTGCATTCTTTTTTTTATTCAAAAATTTTTCAGGATTATAAAAAATCTCTCACACAAAAGCCATTTTTTAAAATATATTAAATAATTATTTACTTAATCAATTTACTTTTTTTTGAAAAATATTAGTTAAATAATTATTTTTAATTACTCTCTTCATATCGAAATCTAAATTCTTTATTATAAGACGTGAATCCGATATTCATTCGCTTAATATGTACCCCTTAATGTCTATCACTGTCAAAAAAAAGAACAGGCAACTTTTAAAACACCCTGTGCACCGCACCCTGTAGGCCGAGATTTTGCTAGGGCAGTATCATACACCCTTTATTGATCTAAAATGCGAACTCGCAGGATGGATTACCTGGGCCGCGCGATACAATCCGATTTGACGAGTTCATTGGAACGCAAACTAGCCCTCTAATTAATCTCATTCGAATCGACATAATCGAGTGGCGAAGCCGTTCTTCCACCTTTTTACGCAGCAAATCGCAATCGCCTCGGCGGGAAATAACCGCGCACACTCGATCCGATACCACTCATATTTATACACGTACGTCAAGAGAGAGAGAGAGAGAGAGAGAGAGAGAGAGAGAATTCACGAGCCCTGCGTGGGTCTCTCCTTGAAACGAATCAATACCCTTTGTAGCTTGTGAAAGGTCCTCTGTGTCCTTGCGCGTCAATATTTATTGCCTCTTTAATGTCCGATCAACGCGCTGCGTGCGCGTAGCTTTTATCGCGTTGCATTTTAAAGATAAACGTAAAAAAATTGATATTACAAGACGCAATTATATTACTTATCGAAGATATAATATTAAATACAGTCTCCTAGTCGCGTAAAAAGATATATTTGTCTAGATATTATTAAAGATTATTCTGATACACATTGTGTATGTGGGTTCAAACGATAATTCTCGTTTCCCGCATACAATATGTTAATGAATATTTGACAATGAACAATTATAATATTTGTACATCTTACACGTCTTTACATCACGTGAAGCTATTATTGTGTCTAAAATATTAATATTTAAATTACCATTCTATACACTGTTCAAACAAGCAGCCGATGGAACGCAGCTTATTTATAAAAGAACATTTTTAGAATCGTCTATAGCCGAACTATACTGTAGAGGTTCAACATTGGCTTACAAGGGTCTCCCTTGAGTCTATAATGTACAACCGATTTAACAACGGAGACACCAGTTTATATACAGATATTGCGTTGTGTTTTATAGTGAAGGGGGGAAGAATATGCAATATTAGATTGAAATCGATACATTATTGTTTTCCGCCTGTCGCTCGATCAATATCTCATCTCTGAATTTTCAACGATTCGTCTTCGCAGGTAGCTAGAACCTCGACAACATGGGCAAGGAGAAGATCCATATTAACATCGTGGTGATCGGGCACGTGGACTCCGGCAAGTCGACGACGACCGGTCACCTGATCTACAAATGCGGCGGTATCGATAAGCGGACGATCGAGAAGTTCGAGAAGGAGGCGCAGGAGATGGGTAAGGGCTCCTTCAAGTACGCCTGGGTGCTGGACAAGCTCAAAGCTGAGCGCGAGCGCGGTATCACCATCGATATTGCCCTGTGGAAGTTCGAGACGGCCAAGTATTACGTTACCATCATCGACGCGCCCGGTCATCGCGATTTCATCAAGAATATGATCACCGGGACCAGCCAGGCGGACTGCGCGGTGCTGATCGTCGCCGCCGGTATCGGCGAGTTCGAGGCCGGAATCTCGAAGAACGGGCAGACTCGCGAGCACGCGCTGCTCGCCTTCACGCTGGGCGTGAAGCAGCTGATAGTCGGCGTCAATAAGATGGACATGACTGATCCGCCGTACTCGGAGACCCGCTTCGAGGAGATCAAGAAGGAGGTGTCGTCGTACATCAAGAAGATCGGCTACAACACCGCCTCGGTCGCCTTCGTGCCCATCTCCGGCTGGCACGGCGACAATATGCTCGAGCCTTCCCCGAAAACCCCCTGGTACAAGGGCTGGAAGGTGGAGCGCAAGGACGGCAACGCCGACGGCAAGACGCTCATCGAGGCGCTCGACGCCATCCTGCCACCCTCCAGGCCCACCGACAAGGCACTGCGATTGCCGCTTCAGGATGTCTACAAGATCGGCGGTATCGGAACCGTACCTGTCGGTCGGGTGGAGACCGGTATCCTGAAACCAGGTGAATACGGCTGGATATATCCAAAAAATAATTTTTTTATTGAATATAATTATCTCTCTGTCTTCAACAATTTTGAAGATTGATCAATGTAAAATCTTAAGCAAACTCATCTGCAATTTTAAGGTATGCTGGTTACGTTCGCGCCGGCGGCTCTCACCACCGAGGTAAAGTCCGTCGAGATGCATCACGAGGCACTGACGGAGGCCCTGCCCGGCGACAACGTCGGCTTCAACGTGAAGAATATCTCCGTGAAGGAGCTGAGGCGCGGCTACGTGGCCGGCGACTCCAAGAATCAGCCGCCGCGCGGCGCCGCCGACTTCACCGCCCAGGTGATCGTACTTAATCACCCGGGACAGATCAGCAACGGTTACACACCGGTCCTCGATTGCCACACCGCCCACATCGCGTGCAAGTTCGCCGAGATTAAGGAGAAATGCGACCGTCGTACCGGTAAGACTACCGAGGAGAACCCAAAGAGCATCAAAAGCGGGGACGCGGCCATCGTGATGCTGCAGCCGACCAAGCCGATGTGCGTCGAGGCCTTCCAGGAGTTTCCACCCCTGGGTCGTTTCGCAGTCCGCGATATGCGTCAGACCGTCGCTGTGGGTGTTATTAAGGTACGACGAGTTATCTTGCAAAGGGAGTATATAAAGTATATAAGACTGGACCAAGCCTGTTTACGAAATTGTAAGATCTAATGAATTATATAATTATTAAATTGTATAATCCTAATAAATTATATAATTCGAATTATATAATTTATTTGCATTATATAATATAATACATAATTATTTTGCAGAGGGGAGGGGAGATATGATAAGACTGGACCAAATTTGTTTACGAAATTTTAATTTCTTACGAATTTAGAGAAAAAAAAACAATTCTGTTTTTATAAATGTGATGAGATATAATATTTTAAAAAATGATAAAATTTATTAGAAAGAATGGAAAGCTCGTTTCTCATTTATAGAGAAAATTGTATAATTATAGAATTATATAATTATATAATTCATTATTTAATAATTTATTCCATTCCTAGTCGCTTAAAAAAATTATTTTCAATTTTGAGTCAATCAATCTCAAAGCGTATTGTCACGCAAATCTTATTTCATGCATGACAATCGCTTCATCATGGTAAAATATCAAAATTCTCTATCTACATTCTATTTATTTTAAATTTGCGATTGATAACAGTCCAGAAAAGTATATATGAAAATAATCTACTATATATAAATTATCGTAATAAAAACCTTAATTTTGCAAATTTTTCCTATAAATGAGAAACGAGCTCTCCGTTCTTTCTAATAAATTTTATCATTTTTTTAAATATTATATCTCATCACATTTATAAAAATAGAATTGTTTTCTACTCTAAATTAATTTTTATGCTACGAAATGCCGATTGTTCCAAGATATTAATTATAACGTCGCATAATGAGAATATTGTACTATTTCTCTCGCAGAGCGTCACATTCAAAGACACCCAGGGCAAGGTAACAAAGGCCGCGGAGAAAGCCCAGAAGAAAAAGTAACCATCAAGCTTCCTCGGAAGCTCGCAGTCCGCCGGCTGGTGCCCCGTGTCAGCAGGCGTCCCCGCGCAGCGGGGTCCTACCGTCAGGACGCAGCACGCCGCCGCGGTGGCTGCCCCTATGCTCGACTCATACTACTCGTCGACTAATACCAAAAGTCATAAGATGTTGTGCTTACCCCCGTTACATTACCCGGTAGTGTTGAATCCGCGCATCTATCCGAACCTACACATTCAGTTCACCCACGCCCCGCGCACGCCTCACATATGCTAGGGGGACGCGTCGCCCCGCGTCTCACCGCGTTTATCATTAATTACTCGATATTGACGATATGTGTCCGATATTACCAGGTACTCAGTTCCCTTGGACTCTGTGTAGTTAGGTTTTTCAATTGATGATACAACATCCGACAAACAACAACAATAACAAACGGGATGTCGCGAGGACAGCCACGCCTGGTATCTTCTCTCGTTCTCGTTCAGCGGGAGGGAAGAAGAAGCGAGGCAGCGGCTGCATCGCCTTTCCCTGTCTGTCGGATATATCTCATCGATGATGTATCGCGGGACGCCGCAACGAATATTTACGCCGCAGCGACGACGACGAGGCGAGCACCGCTGGCTCGCGCGTCCCAGCAAGACTTCACTCGATCGATTCTTTTCGAAGGGTTCGTTAAGGCTGATTTGTTCCGAGACTTGGTTGCCTCGCTGTGCGCGCGATTAGTTTTTATTATACTTATAAGATACTTATCTGTAGTTAGGGATCATTAGGGACTATATACTCTCCCCCTCCGTCATCAACGAGTCGCCGGCTATCTCCCCTCTCTGAAGAGCGGAGGAAGTAGAATCGCCTCCTTGGAGAGGATGAGACATCCGTCGCGAGTCGCCCACGTTAACCTCGGCGCTCTACCCTCCCGCTGACCATAGACGCGTTCTATGATATTGTTTTGACCCTTAGCCAGTATTACGTTGATGTAATAAAAAAAATCTTTAATTGCATTCTCTAGTGGTCTCTTTATTTTTTCCCTGATTATATTACGTATCTTCTCATAATTTCGCGACAGATAGCGAATAATTGTTATTAATCCTATCGCAATTGGACAATTTGAATTACGAGAAGTAAGATAGCTTCCTTCTCTTTCACTTTGATTGTGATTCAAATGTGAAAGCAAGAGAAGCGTGTGTATACAGGTATGACATAAAAAAGATAATCGGCGCTAGAAGAGGGATCTTTTCTATATATGGTAAATATAATTTATTCCGCATAAATTCTTTGTTAAAGTTACAACTATAGACACATGGTATATACAAATATATTTAATGCAAGTGATCTCTTTTACAAGAATTTTTAGTGTAATGCAGCTCTTGGTCAGTCTTTAATTGCTGAGGCCCGTTTTTCTTTGGCGGGGCGTCGAGCAGACTCAATCCTCTCGTAATCGAACATGACACAAAATTATTAATCGCGGAAAAGAAAAGAATGATGAAACTTTTTCTTCGTACATACAAATCACATATGTAAGTAAGGAATTCATGAATCGATATATGTAGGCACTTTTATGCTAACTTACGTCTCGAATACGGAAAATCGTCGGTTTATACGGATCAATTTGTCGGGATTTCGAAACAAGCACCCATCGCTTCTACGTGAATCAATTCTGTCAGGTTGATAACATTCATTTATTTATCATGCGTTTGCTAAGTTAAACCCAACAGAAATAAATTTTTCCATATGTTACATAAAAAATGGATTTGTTTCCGGATCCCAACTTGATACCAACCGGATACCTGACTTTGAAACACGACATGTATCTCTCTCCACCGAATAGTCAATGTATCGATATTCGATATCCGTAATGAGTACTGTAAGAAGTGGAAAGATAACGAGAATGTCATAATTAAAAGAATAATAATCAAATAATCGAATAAAGTCTGTGCTAAAAAATTCTTGATCATTTTCGACTCTGCATGATTATTTTAAAATCTGGATCCGGAAGATCCTGCCATCTTGAACTTGCAGCATATAACCATGTGGCGAGGCAAAGGCAAGGCTCAGGATGACCAAAGCAATTCACAGTTCAATATTTAATTCAGTTCTAAATTTTTATCACATAATTCTTACAGTACATACCAACATTTCATACTGATTCTTGACTAAGAGAACACGGCATGCGCGAAAAGTTTTTAGAACTGACAAAATGGAAAATAAGCGAGTCCAAGAAGGAGAATAAATGGAGCGAAAAGAGGAACGAGATGAGATATCCGTCAGGGAAGAAGGAAAATGGGAGTGTCTGAATTATACAGATTAACGACGAAGAAAGACACATCAAAGCCAAAACGACTTGGGCTTTCTATTCTTAATACTCTACCTATGTACAAATTCTTAACATGCTCTCTCTCTCTCTCTCTCTCTTTCATTCATTCTCTCATTCTTTATCTCTCTCTCGCTTCCTCTCATAAATGCTAAAACGACCCACAGCCTCGGTAAATGTTACAAACATCTTCGACTTCGGCAATGTACATCAACCAAGCGATCTATACACGATGCAAAATATTATAAGCAGACTATAAGAATTAATATCAATAATGTCAAGCGCATATGTGTCCCACATGGCGTGAACGGAAAGTCTCTAAAATCAGTTCAACGCGGAACGTGTTAATTATTTCTGCAAATATATCTAACATCACGCGTGATTAATCCAGAAATTTATAAGATTTTCCAAAGTTTAATATGACAAGATTTAGCAAAATTATTAATTATATCAATGAATTGTAACGCATATAGATCGCTCTATTCCGTCTATCGCGTATTGCGACTAATAAAATAGAGCAACTGTGAGTGTTGCTCGTGATTCTCGCAAGAGCTACGGACGGCCTCATGATCGCTCCCGGTTTTATCACGACATGTGATAATATTATCCAAGAACCCGCCCGAATTTATACAATCGCTTCAAATTAGTGCGGTGTAATCCGTCAAGGATCGATATCAGAAATTGATAAAGAACTGGGGATACGTCCCTCGTCTACGATAGACACTAGTAATCAAATGACAAACCATTTCATTTCATTCGCTTCTCCCTTATGTCTGATGCTGGTGAATGGGACTATGCTGTTGCGACCACGCGGGCGGTGACAAGTGATTAAAATTGACCGATATCGTGACCGGATGGAGAACGATGTCGGGTCCGGTGTCCGGGATAAAGCTTAGGTAGGGCCTGATCATGGACGCCTCGACTGTTAGTGGTACGTAAAAGGAACCGGCG